AAGTCACGTGTTTCATCAACCTGCTTTCGACCATGGGGGGCAAAGCACCAGCCACGAAAATCCCCAGCGCCCCGCACACCTCTCGTCCTGCGAGCCCAAAAAAGGATGTCGCTGGGCTGCCCCAAGCCGATCCGTATTCGTACTACCGCGACGTGCACATGGACACCGCAAAGGGATTCACTGCGACCGGGTTTCCCGACGTGCGGATGGCCACCGCTAAAGCGTTCAATCCGGACATCCTGATGGACACGGCGAAGGGCGACAAGACCACCGTCAAGGGCGGCGGGCTGAAGATCTGGGAGCTGGAACTGATCGAGAATCCGGAGATCAAGCGCAAGGCGACCGTTGCCCAGCTATGTGTGTGTGCCGCACATACGCATCTCGCCGATCTGACCTCGCGTGCCAGATTTCCTTGATTACTACTTCCAGAGCCTCGGGTACCTGCACTCGCGCAAGGAGCGGCGTGCGAAGTTCGACAAAGACACCGCCGCGCGGGACCTCAAGGCGGTCGAGTATGCGAAGGAGTTCAAGTCGTACTGTGGGCGCGAGCGCGTCCTGCTGCGGCGTCGGCGGACGAAACTCAAGGTGGATCAGTTCCATATCATCGCACAGGTCGGACAGGGGGGGTACGGCGAGGTGTTCCTGGCGCGCAAGCAGGATACAGGGGAAGTGTGCGCGCTGAAAAAGATGCGCAAGCGCACTCTGTTCAAGATGGACGAAGTGCGTGGTATACCCCTTGGTTTCTTTTTTCGCGACTGACGATGCGCATAGATTCGCCACGTCCTCGTTGAGCGTGATATCCTCACCGCGACCAAGACGCCCTGGCTTGTCAGGCTTTTGTACGCGTTTCAAGACCCGGAGCATGTCTATCTCGCTATGGAATATGTCCCTGGAGGCGACTTCCGGACGCTGCTCAATAATTCGGGAGTTCTTAAGGAGGAGCACGCTCGATTCTACATCAGTGAGATGTTCGCTGCTGTCAACGAGCTGCATAAACTGGGCTACATCCATCGGGATCTGAAACCGGAGGTGTGTCTTCACGACTTCTGGGAAGAAATCTGGCCATGAAGCGCCGCGCAGAACTTCCTTGTGGATGGAACGGGACATGTGAAGCTCACTGACTTTGGGCTGGCGACTGGTGCCCTCAATCCGAAACTGATCGAGTCTCTGAAAATCAAGGTTAGATCACATACAATCTGATAATGCGTTGTGCCCTGATTGTTTACTCAGTTGGACAAAGTGAAAGACAATCAAGTTGTGCATCGGTCCACTCTCGAGCGCCGATCCATCTATCGTTCCATCCGTAATGAAGATGCTCGTTACGCAGACTCCATCGTCGGATCACCGGATTACATGGTGTGCTTCCTGTTGTGTTGTGGATCCTGCGTCTTATGCATACTTCAGGCCCCGGAGGTACTTCGTGGCAAGCCCTACAATTTTTCAGTCGACTACTGGTCCCTGGGATGCATTTTGTTCGAGTTCTTGGCTGGATTCCCTCCGTTTTCGGGCGGCACACCGGAGGAGACATGGACCAATCTCAAGAACTGGTCCACTGTGTTGCGCCGTCCCGAATACGACAAACCTGAGGATCTAGTGTTCAATCTGACGGATGTAGCTTGGGACGCTGTCACCCAGTGCGTCGTTCTCATAAACAAATGAAACTAAACTGATGTTTTTTCTTTCGCAGACTCATTGCCCACTCGAGCACCCGGTACGCGTCACTGAATCAAGTCGGCGGGCATCCGTTCTTTGCCGACACCGAGTGGGAGGACTTGCGGTCCGTCAATGCGCCCTTTGTCCCTGCACTGGATTCGGAGATTGACACGGGCTACTACGATGACTTCACGTCTCCGGAGGACATGGCGAAGTACGCTGAGGTGAAGGAGAAACAGCGGAACGTCGATAATGTGAAGGAGAAGGAGGAAGGATTTGGTCGAGGTGTCTGGGTCGGCTTCACCTTCGGAAAGAACGGGCCGGGTCGCCAGACTGGTTCGGGCGGTGGAGGCAATGATGATGGGGCTCTGGCCACCATTTTCTAGAGTGCCGGATCACGATAATTGCTTTGTTAAACATTGGGAATCATGAATGTATAATACATATACCTGTACGAGTTTGCTCTACGTCACATAATCTACAGAATCGTCCACGCTAACATCAAAGGAAAGCTGTGATACGTACTTGACTTGAAAACACATTTGGGCGATGTTTCCGAGATATATGCTGCAACTCGCATGAAGGCCTAGAGATCGTCGATTGGGGCCACTTGATTCTTCGCCTTTCATAGCCTCATCCAACCATACTTCTCTTTCGACCACGCTGTCGAACTAAAGATACGAGTCAGCATATAGTCCGAAAGGAGACGCTAAGAGACGCACCATCTTCCAATCGCCGAGCCAGTGCGGGCCACTCCTTGCCCATTCGTCGTTCGTACGCTCCTAGCACAGATGCGAACAACGGCTCCGAGTCCGGGTGCGTCGATGAGAAGGCGCGCTCCAAGACGTACATGTCCACAGCCTTGTCTTCGATCAGAGAGGAATGGTACGAAAGACCAAAGTCGATGAGGATCTGTTCGGCGGATGAGATCAGAAGACGTGTTCTCGTTGGCAATCAACAAACAAGCTGCTTTGTATTCGGCGTCTTCGGCGATGAGGGTGAACGGAGCATCATATTGGACGTAGTTAGATCTCCGTGAATCATGTCGGTCAAATGCAGGTTGGCGATTTCTTCCCCAATCAGTTGCATGAGGGTATCTGGAAGAAGTTAGACAGGATCATCGTAAAGCAGAGAACATGCCGGTGGTTATGCCATAGTCACGAAGGACATCAACCGCTGCCTCGGTTTCGTCAGTGTCGTTTTCGTCCTCCCCAGCACCGCCTGGTAGCAGGCGGCGCACACTGGATCCATCTATCCATTCGATACCGAGCACACCTTCCGGTGCGTCGACCATCCTGATTCCTGGTACGCTCACGCCCGATCTGTCATCCGCTGCTGGTGAGATCCAAGATGTGTGTTCGCGCGGAGCCGCGAGCAGTCTGACCGTAGGCACTTTGCCAGAGCCCGCGCTTCACCGGCGACACGCGCCCGCGTGAGCGAGCCGTCGAGGGTAGGATGGCGGTATCCTTTCTTGAACCGGTGCTTGAGTAGGATGGGTGGATCGGAAGGGTCTGATGTCAGACGCGCTTTGTAGACTTTCTGAGGGGATCGCGCGCGGACAATGAGACGAGCGTAGGTACAGGTACATATAAATACTTGCTGCTTCAGCTCCTTGAGAAATCAGTGTGGAGTTTGCGATTAGTGTTAATGTCGGGGAAATCATTTTGAAAGGCTCGGTGGGTGCAGAGAGATAAGATTTCGAAAGATGCGTGGCGGTGCCGGATTGCTGACTGCTCTCCTCCACGACCATCAACATGCCTGAGCAATGTCGGTACACTGAATCCATTCCATTGTATTTGGGTCTTAGCAATCTCACTCTAGCTCAATATTCGCAAGCGGCTCGAATGCCATTAATCAAATCACCCAGTCTCCGTATTCCGCGGCCGGTGAGTCTCGCGCGACCACAGCGAGCGACGTACCTGAAGCCACGGTCTCCTAGGTCACACTCCCTCCAGACATCCACCCTCTTCCCGAGTCGATTGCTCCCTACGTGAGCCGCATCTCAATGGGTCGTCGGGATGACTGAATCCCAAACACAGATGGTCTACCCCTTCACGCTCGAGCCGCACATCATAACGCTGGAGTCATCGCGCCAGGCCACCGTCGCTGCACACGACGCGCGGAGGGATGCATACTTGAAGAGTCGGGCGGATGAGAAGGACCGGCGGAAGCGGGACGCTCTGCGGCGTATCGCCCCTGGTTTCGAGCCTGGCGAGGGACACGTCCTGGTACCCACCAAGCGCTCCTCGTTGGTGGGATCCCCACCTCCAGTATCTGCTGCTCCCACACCGCCTGCTCCGCCGAAATCCGTCATGGACGATCTTGTCGATCGGCTGGCTGCGATGGATTCTGAAGCCGAGTCACGGTCTGCCCGCCCATAGAGCTCCCCGCTTTGGGTCCACTGTCATCTTCTCCCTTAGCGGCTCTCGAGCATCAAGCTTGCGGTCCAGACTCATCAGAGGCTAGGTACTTGGTCGGGTCATGTACTGTGCAATCCCATAATATCCGCAAGTGAAACGCAAGAGCGGTTCCACTGGCAGGATATTCTCTTTGCTTTGACTGGGACAATGACGCGGGAATGTTCTGAGGATTTTCCTGCGCTTAAGGTAAATGTCAATCATTCTCTGAACTTGGCCCGTTTTCGTATCGTCAAGTGACGACGCCTGTGGCTCGCTTGTGTCTCTTGAGGCCTGCATCCGAAACGCGAATCCGGCACGTGAACGGGCACGTTCTGGTTCGGCTACCTGATTCCAGCTTAGCATGTCCTGGCTCTCCATTATCTGCCTGGAGGATCTACATCTTAAAACCCTGGGTCGCTTTCATATGCGTTATGTTCTGCTTTTTCGGTGAATTTACACTTCTGGACAGACGCCCTGATACCAGCTACTCATGGATGCAAACGGTTCCGATTCTGCGCGTCATTCAGGAGATCGTGGTCGTAGCTGTTGATCTCGTTCTCGTTCTTGCTTCCGAAGTACGATCATACTGACTCCTTCGAGCTGCGGTCTCTCTCTCTCCTGCCCCTCGGCTCACCGCTGCTCATATTACGGGCCAAGTGCACTGCTCAGTTCTCGCGACGCGTCCACAGGTAGGACCGAGCACAACATGCACCCCTCTGTCGCACAGTACCCAACGTGTCCTGCTTCCGTCGATCGCTCGCTTCTCGTCAGTTTCTGTTTGTCTTGGTGGATCTATCTCGAGAGAACATTTTGCGGACTCTGGTGACTTGTGGAGAATCCTCTGCTCCAGATCGGGGAAGAGATTCGAGTCTAGTCGGACCGTGTCGCCCTTAACCCAAGAAGTGTCAACCCTAACCCAGCACTCACTTGGTACTCATCCGTTCTTGTCTTGAATCCCTCCACGATAATGTCTGCTCTGACTGGAACAACGCATGCGCTTTCTCTCCCCGAAATCCTGAATCTTGTACTTGGATGGATCTATGCAGACGACATGTATCATGCAACAGTCAGACGCCACGGCGCTGATGCTGCCGACTGGTTCAGTGTTCCTCTCGCGCCGGATTCGACTGATGAAGAGGACGAGGAGGACTGGGAGATTCTCTACTTCAGCAATGCTCACGTGCTTGTCCGCTGTGCGCTCGTCAACCACGCCTGGTTCTACGAGGCCGTCCCTTACTTGTGGAGGGACCCCTGCACGTACATGTCCGACTCATTACACTCCCACTTCAGCGGGATTTCCTCTCTAGAGAGAAAACAGTTCTATGCGAATTTTGTGCGCGTCGGGAAGGAGACTACCTCTGATGGAGCCGGAAAGAGTCGACTCAATGCACAGGAACTGTTGCTGGAGGGTCCGGACTTTCCTCGTCTCGAGGAGATGTCCATCTACCTCGACGGTTCTGGGGCTTGGATACCACCCATCCGCGGTGATAATGTGCGGGTGTTGACGCTGGATCCCTCCTTCGACGTGAATCCTGATACGTATCGCGTGAGCCGGGCGGACATGGATGGAATTCTAGATATTTTGCCCGTAGGTACTCCTCTTCTTACTTAAGGCCATGGCAATCATGGTCTCCAGATCTTCTTCCCAAATGCTCAAACAGTCGAATTCTTGGATTCGTGTTTGGCGTTCCCTGGCGCACTCGAACGCTTCCAAGCGCGCATGCCTAGGTTGGAGACCTTTGACCACACTCTAGTACGCGTCGGTACAGAGCACCCTTGGGAGATATGACTGTGGATTCAATACCTTACATATAGTAATTATTGTTAGACAAGAGAAGCGAAAGACCGCCAGAATGTTGGGTGAGGCAAGAGCAAGATGACTGAGTTCTTGGGATCAGAGTGATGATATTTCGACCTTGGAGCCCTATAGTGCCCGCTGGAAGCGCGTTGAGATCTCATATTTCTCTTCCTTGTCACGCGAGTCGAGCACATACGGATGTTTGTGACATTCCTGTCACACTGAGGGCGCGTTCCAGTCGGCTAAATGCTAGCTATCGCCTGATTCCTTACACATTCAGCATTTACTCTCCAGAGACTTGCTATATCCATTCGATCTCAGCGTTAGTTTCAGCAAAAATCAATCTCTCCGCAGGACGCGAGCACGGGCTGTAGTCATTGGGAGCTGATGGACGTTGACCAGGACCGCATCACACGCGTGCCATCCCCTGCCCCACCGACCCTTCCACCACCACCGCTCTCATATGATGAACATCGTTCTAACCAAACTCCTCTCGTTATCGACAACGGGTCTACGTATCTGCGGTACGGCTTCGCCACCTCAGAGAATCCACGGTCCGGTTTGAACGTGGTCGCGAAGTACAAGGAGCGGCGGACCAACAAGCCTCTTCTTTTGTTTGGTGACGGGGTAGAGGTGGAAGGTGGCGCGAAGATCCAGGCGCGGACGCCATGGGAGGGGGATGTGCTACTCAATTCCGAAGCGCTAGTCAGTGGTGCTCTTTCGGTGGATGAACGGATTCCCCAACTGACGGGTGCAGGAAAACGCGCTGGACTACGCGTTCGTGCAGCTGAGTATCGATGCGGAGACGGTGGAACACCCGATGATCATGACGGAGCGGTTGTGTTCGCCAATGCATTCTCGTGCTAGTGAGTGCACATATATGCGTGCGCCTGGGGCCTGGTACTCACTTGCACGTAGTCACATCAGAGCTGCTTTTCGAGCAGTACGGCGTTCCCTCAGTGGCATACTGTGTCGACTCGATCATGTCATTCTACCAAAATAACGGGCCCTCTGCAGATGGTCTCGTGCTTTCTTTCAACACCGCGTCGACATCCGTGATCCCTATTCTCTCGGGCAAGGGGATCCTCAGCCACGCGAAGCGTATACCGTGGGGCGCGTCCCAGTCCGCTGACTACCTCCTGAAGCTGGTCCAGCTCAAGTACCCGAACTTCCCCACACGAGTCACCCCACCCCAGTCTCAATGGATGCTGCAAAATATGTGCGAGTTTGCGCCGGACTACCTGTCGCTGCTGCGGTCGTTCAAATATTGTGATGTTTTACGAGCGCATGATCGGATCGTCCAGTTCCCCTTCGCACAGCTTGTGCAAGAGGAAAAGTCGCCCGAAGAGCTTGAGCGGGCTGCTGAGCGCCGGAGAGAGCAGGGCCGGAAACTCCAGGAGATGGCTGCGAAAATGCGTACGGAGAAACTCGAGCAGAAGGAAACAGATTTGCAGTTTCTGCATACTTTGCGCGACGGAAAGGATGGGGAATCCAAGAGAGATTGGATGGCAAGTTGCCTTCGTCTTCCTTGCCCCTGTCCCGTGCTTTCTGACGCATGAGATAGTATAAACTGCAAACGGAGGGTTTCGATGATGAGGCTGCCTTGGACGAGACTATCAAGAAACTAGAGTCAGATTTGAAGAAAGCTCGGAGGAAGGATGCGGTGGAGGATGACGAGGAACCGAATTTCCCGCTTGTGGATGTTCCTGACGCTGAGGTCAGAACATTATTGTATTCCTTTGCTCGGCGCATCTTGACGAGATCCTGTAGCTGGATGAGGAAGGTCTGAGAGAAAAGAAGAAGCAAAAACTGATGAAGGCGGGTTTCGAGGCCCGTGCCAGAGCGCGGAAGGAGAAAGAACGAGAGCGAGCGGAACAGGAAGAAGCCGAGCGACGAGAGGAGCAGGAGAGAGAACAAGATCTGGGTGGCTGGATTCGCAAAATGCGTCAGGAGCAGGAGGTCGGGCATTTGTCTGGCCAAGTCTCAATGCATGACTCTGTCCACAGGCACTTATGGCGCGCATCAAAGAACGTAACCGTCGAAAAGCAGCTCTCAGTGACCGGAAGAGTGCTGCAGCTCAAGCGAGGATGAAAAACATCGCCAGCCTTGCAGCAGATGAGCGCGCACCAAAGAAAAAACGCAAGGGCGGGGGCGGTGGGTGATCGGTTTCCCTGCACCAGTCACAGCTCAACTTCCATTTCCAGAGGATAACTTCGGAGCGAATGATGCAGATTGGGCTATCTATCGGAAGATCGTGAGTCCCTCATTGGGATCATACATTGCATGCGCCTTTTGCGCTGACGGTCTACTGGCAGAATATAGCGGCGCCTTCAGATGACGAGGAAGAGGACCTCAATCAACTGCAGACCATTGAGGGCAAGCTTCTATCCTACGATCCGACCTTCACAATCCTGGAAACCCACGCATCCTTGGTGTTGAAGCGGTCTGAACTGCTCACGACGCTGCGCCCTGTGTACGACGAAAACGACATTGAAGGTGTGTGATCGTTGATGGTCATGGAATTAGATCGTCTGCTGACACAATATCTGTCGCAGGCTCATACCGAGTTCATCTGAACACCGAGCGATGGCGGGTGTGTGAAACGTATTTCGCTCCGGGAATGGCAGGCGTCGACTCTGCCGGACTAGGAGAAGTCATACAGAACGTTTTGGCCCGGTTTACCAGCTCCGAAAAAGAAAAACTAGTGCAGAACGTCTTCCTCACTGGTGCCCCGACTCAGTTTCCCGGTCTAAGCGAACGGCTGCAGCTGACGATGCGGCCGATACTTGCACCGGAAATGCAAATCAATATCTGCAAGGCTGAAGATGTCAGTGCCGACGCGTGGCGCGGGATGGCGCGATTCGCGAAATCAGACGAGTTTGCCGGTGTCGGTGTCACGAGGGCGGAATATGACGAGTATGGGGGCGAGCGAACACGACGGTGGTGGGGTGGGAACTGGAATTGATTTGGTTGCGTAGCTTTCTTGCTTTGTTGTATGCTATCTGTACGTGCGGTGCAATCCAGACTTGTCGCGATTGTCACTACACACGTGAAGTCAGTCACGCGCTTGTGGTTATACCTTGACGGTCACGGGCATGAGGCCGCTCAAGCAAGCTTATGTCTTTGATATGCCTGGACTGGAACACGATCGTTTCCTGGGCGTCTAAACAACTTCTCTTACGTTGATGTGAAAGCGGGCAATAAAACCCAAGGTGCATTGCTATTCGCCGCTCATACCCATTTCTATCCTGCTGCCTGGATCATCCACCAATCATGTCCTACCCTCAATCTCTTTTCGCAGGCGTCTGTTCTCTGGATGACCTGAGAATGCGCCTCAAGAAATTCAAAGACCTGCTCACAGGTGGTGGAAACAGGAACAATACTCCAGCGCGGGGTAGTGCACTGGTCCTCCGTGTCCTTCAACGCGAACAGCCTGAAATCTGCAGGCTCGTTCTAGCCGGTAAGTCCCTGCGACGTTTAGAGTCGACCCTTATTAAACCTTGACTCCCTCTTAGACCTCCGTGAGGACTGGATCCTCGAACCCTTCCCCTCTGCGTCGACTTTTGTTGGCTCGCTTGCCCACCAGGCCCTCGTGCAGCTGTCGCTTTATTTCCAAAACACGCCGAGCACTACAATTGATACGTACAGCCGACTCTCTGATGAGCGCCCCGATAAGCGGCGCCTTCTTTGCTGTCAACTCGTGAAAGAGGCGCCTGCCGTCCTCGCGGCGCTTAGCAGCAAATTGGACTTGCTCGGTGTAGGTAAACATGGCGCCACGGCTGGAATAGAGGACCTTCCGGTCAAAAAGATGAGTCAGAAAGAGTTGAAATTGTCACGAAAGCGCCAGCTAGTGCGTGAGATCCCGCTGGACCCTGCTCCGTTCGCTCGCTTGGAGCTGGATGTCCCCGTGACAGCCGTGGAGATGGAAGCCGCTGTGGATCTCGTGCTGGATATGCAGAAGGGGATCCTGCAGGTGTGTGCTTGGGCCGTTCCTGTGGGATGCGACTGAAATGCTTGCCAGGACTACCTAGAGGCGTTGCGGTGCCCTGAGCTTAGAAGATCGATCGAAGACACGTGTCTTCCTTCGAATTCGTTTGTTGTTCAAGAACACGATGCGGCTACATTCATGAAAGATTCCGATGTGGACTGTGTGGAGGCGCTGGTCACTGCATCCAATGACGAAAAGCAGGACTATCTGGAGCACCATGTCAGCATGTATGTGCTTCAAGGCCAACCATTTGGCTCATCTGACCTCTTATAGCAACATCCTCTACGCGGACAACGCCGCTGGTTTTGGTGAATGGATGATCAATCTCTCCCCTCGTGCGAAACGCGACTTGCGAGATCTTAATCGCCGCGACCGCAAGATCTTCAAGATCGTCGTCAAGAAGATCAAGTGCGCTCAGACTCCATATGTTCGATATACTTGACGGTATTTCTTACATATCCCTACGCAGGGAGCTCTCGAATGGGCGTTTCTCGTCCGACAATCAGAAGCGGTTGAACGGACAACAGACTGATGTTCCTGTCTATGAGGCCAAGATGACAGGAGATTGGCGATTGGTGGTACGCTGCTCTCATGTCGGAGGTCGCTCGTTGAGGCTGAAGTGATGTCAAGTATCATATCGACTGTATCCCTGCCATCAATTCCGAGGTAAGACGCACAGAGATATCTTGTATCTGGTACTCAAGTTTTGCTGTATGCTCAGTCCGAACAACAAGGTGTGACATACACTACTTGCCTACATTGTGCAGCTCACTGGCCATAGCCATCAAGATCTTTGGTGTCTACACCCATGCTCAGATTGGGCGCGTCTCTTTTTGGGATTCCATGGGCCGGGAACTGGGAAAGAAAGGGAAAGAGTACAGGGAGAGGTCAGTTCTCGCACTTTGATTTGGTACATCACTCAAAGACTATATGGAGATGTGCGTTCCGCAAAGCGCCTCATAATCCCGGCGACTACGTTTTCTCGCCCGGTATCTTTCCTGCGCCGGAGGAGTCGCGTGCGCTGCCTTCAGGAAATGTCCCCGATCTTCCGCCGGATGATTTGGAAAATATACAGGCGCTGTTGATGTTTGTGGCCGCTCTCGAGCATCCTCGCTTGATCTTGACATCTTACAGCAAATCCGTGTCTTTCTCCAAAGCGATGCTCAAGGCCATCATTGCCGACCTGGATATCGCGTTTGTGCTGCAAGTCTCGTGCGTCTCCGTTTCCTCGTGGAGTGTTGTTACTTACACCCTCGCAGACCGACTGAGAAGGCCATCATCGAGCATCCTGATTCCTGTTACGTGATCGGTCGAAGTGGCACTGGGTGAGCGACTCCCTGGGTAGACTGTCATGTGCTGACCAGCGGCCAGAAAAACGACCACAATGCTATACAAGATGCTACTCATCGAGGCAGACTACGAACTCGCGAAGGGAACAGAGCATGAAGTCAGAAAACGTCGGCAGCTCTTCGTTACGCAGTCGCGTGTCCTTGCTGGGAAAGTGGAGGAACACTTCGGCAGACTGTTTGCAGGGTATCGACCAATGAAAGTTGCACAGCCCGCCCAAGACCAGGATGGGAATGGCCAGGAGGCACTACTCGACGCCGACGATGTAGTCGATTGGAGGAGCGATCTCCCACAGCGATACAGCGAGCTTCGAGACGAGCATTTCCCACTGTTCCTGACCTTTGACCGAGCGAGTCCTTCTATATTTGATATGTTTTTTTGGGGAGTCTAACTTTTGACGTAGCTCTGTGATCTCCTTGAGGGGGATTACGAGAGTGGCTTTTCCTCAGCACGTAAAGTCACATACGATCGATTCATTCAGTCGTACTGGCCGCATTTCCCTCAAACACTGACCAAGGCGCTGGGCAAGTCTTTGATGCCTTCGACTCTGCAGTTGGGGTTGATGATTCTCGGGCTGATCCTCCCTCAGATCCAGCGATGGTGTTCAGCGAGTTCATAGGTTTGCAGCGTCTCTCATCCAATCACAGCCAAGCGATCTTATCCATTGATAGGTGTCATCATGGGATCGGAGGACACATTGGACTCAAGGAACGTTGCCACGTATCTAGACAGGAAGACGTATCTAGGGCTCAGCGAGCGCACACAGTCCACATTCGCTACTCAGCGCGCGGAGGTTTATGGGCTGTTTGAAGCGTACTTGGCTCGCAAACGGGCTCTACAGGATCATGATGCTGCTGATCGGTGCGCTTGTTGTAAAGTGTGGTCTCGGCGGCTGAAACAGATGCATCATGTAGGACGCATGCGCTTTTGAGACATCTTCAGACACATCGTCAGAAACAAGGAGTTCCCGAGCTGATCAAGCTGGACTATCTGTGAGCCTCGGTGCAGCTATGTATTCGACGTGGACTACGACTGACTGGGCCAAGATATGTCGACGAAACTCAGGACAACTTGCTCATCGACTCTCTATGTGAAGTTAAGCATCCGTGGGATTAAGCATCTTTTCATCGTTTATCAGTGCTACGATCCATCTGCCACAATCCGAATGGTCTGTTCTGGGCTGGGGACACAGCTCAGACAATTTCCGTTGGGAGCTCGTTTCGATTCGATGACCTCAAAGCCTTCTTGTATCGTGTTGAGGTCTGCTTCAGCGTGTCCGACATATATACTCCGTTGTGCTGAGGAGCTGCGCAGGAGAAACACACACTCTCACACAAGGGTTCTGCGGCACACGTCTATCAAGCTCGGCCTCCCAAGTCATTCCAGCTGACTGTTAACTATCGCTCGCACGCGGGGATCGTCAACTGCGCGAATACTGTCATCTCGCTGTTGACATCGCTATGGCCGTACTCCATCGATGTCCTGGACAGAGAGCGAGGGACGGTGAACGGCTCGCGGCCTGTGTTTTTCACTGGATTTGATTCAGGGAATGTGGAATACGAGCAGTTTCTGTTCGGAGATCGGGAGTGCGTGTCATGACATCTGATTCATCGAGACAAACTGACTTCAAGACTTGCTTGCAGTGGAAGCTATATCGAGTTCGGTGCCCACCAGTGCATTCTTGTCCGAAATGATGCCGCCCGAGATAAGCTGAGGGAGCAGGTCGGCGATATTGGACTGATCATGTCCGTTCATTTCAGGCCTTCTTGAGGTCGCGATTGTCCCATCTGATGTTGTTGTGTTTTCAGGACTTTGTATGAAAGCAAAGGTCTCGAATTCAACGATGTACGGGTCGGATGGCTTGTAGGTTAATACCGTTCATCTGACGTGCATTCCAGGTACTGTTGTACAACTTCTTTGAAGACTCCACCGTGGCCGGAGCCCAATGGCGCGTGGTGCTGAACGAAGTGGATGATCCGAAGCAGCGGCTTACTGTGCCCACTTTTGACCCTATGCGACACGCGAGCGTGTGCATGGAGGTGCGCTGTGCCTTACCGAGGGTGGCATTCCGTCGTAATGACTCCGTTTTCAGCTCAAGTTTCTGTATGTCGCGATTACCCGAGCGAGGAACAACCTCTGGATTGCCGATGCCACTTCGAAAGGAGAGCCCATGCGGGTTTGTGGTCGTTTGCACCGTCCCGCTCAGACACTCACTTCGCTGAAGATCCTATGGACAAGCAGAGACCAAATCCAAAACTGTACACCTGGGTCCGACACACCGAAATTGGCGTCAAACTCGACCGATGTTGAATGGAGACAGCAGGGCCGGAAACTGTTTGCGAACAAGAACTACTATCAGGCCAAGCAATGTTTCGAACGTGGAATGGAGCCGAGGTTGGCAGCGATGGCTGAGGCTTACTACCTGCGGCAAGAGGCCCGCAAGGTCCCCGACACCAACAAACGCCGAGACATGGACACACGCAAGATTGCGTTCATCAAAGCCGCTGAAGCGTTCCTTCGGTGTGCTCGAGTCGAGCCGGACCCCAGCGCCCAGGCTTACTTGCGTATTGCAGCGGAATGCTATGAGCTTGCGGGGGACGAGTTGACTGCGGCGCTGATTTATCGGGATGCGCGGGAGTTCACGCGCTCGACTGAGCTGTATCGGAAGCTGGCCAAATTCGATGAGGCGGTGGACAATATCTTGAAACACGGGGATGCGATCAAGCCTGAGGTGGTGGAGAAGGTGACAAATGTCGCGAGACTGTTCTATTTCAATGGACACCAACTGGAGTAAGTTCGAAATAAACGTTGATAGCAGCGATTGACTGAATGGAAAACAGGAAAGCGAGTCGACTGTTCTCTTCCACTGACGAGGCACTGGAGTATCTGGATGACCGAGGGCTCGATATGCCTCGCGCACAACTGCTGGAGTCGCTGGGCCAATATACTGCCGCTGCAGAGATCCACCTGGAAGAGGGCCGGACGCTGGATGCCATCAAGCTCTTCCTTCGAGAGGATGTTCGCCGGGGCACAGAGTGCATCTTGCGTGGACTTTGGCAACACGTGACGTTTGGAGTCGTCCCGGTAGTGAGTGGTGAGTTGGAGCAGCTGCTGAGACTGGCAGAAAAGGCGGATTTGTCCATGTTGTCCGAGAATGACAGGCAGGAGGTGCGTCAATTGAGCGCCGATGGTTGAACCATGTCACTGAGACCGCACCAGCTTTCGATGTTCTGTTGTATCTTCGCCGAAAAGACTGCCGAGATCGCTCGACTCGGAGAGCAATTCGAAGAGAAACGGGATGTTGCTGCCGCGCTGCTTTGCTTGGACAACTATTTCCGCTCACCGCCCAAGATACAAGTGCTCAGCGCTCGAGACGTGTCTGAGCAGCTGCGCTTGTTTGGCTGCTACATGCGTGTTCTCAATTGGGTGACCTGGACCGATCCGTGTTCATATCCAGAGATCGGCAAGTTGTTTGGGTTCACGCGTGCTGGAGAAAACAGCTTCGTTCTGCGTGCGAGCACTTGGCTGAACCCGCACCCTACCGATGATTCCATGGTCAACAGCGCGGAGTTGCGGATGTTATTCCAGAACAAGATCAAGCCGCGACTTCAGGGTTGTTTCGTCACCGAAAACGAGGTCTGTATGAGGAGGACACGGGCGTTTTCTCCGTGTTTGTTGTATGCGCTGTTCGATGGGACGTGCAACCGCGTAGACTGTCCGAACGAGCACCTTGCTAGGTCTCAGATTGACGAGGAACAGTATATGTATCGGGTGCGGATCTGTATGCAGCAGATTGTGATCGTGGGGACGGTGCAGTTCGCAGTGAACGACTCGTCGATCAAGCGGTGCGTGTTCAATGTTCGGTTGTCTGATCTGGTGACTTGATTGCATCTAGCCACTGGATCCAGCAGCTCTACTCTACACTGTATCCCTCCGACTATCGGCTCGGCTCAGTCTCGCGCCTTGATCTGACCCAGATTCCGGAATCTGAACAAGCGCTGCAGACGGTGAAGGAATGGATTCGAGCCTGGGTATACGAACTGTCGTTCAAACCCGGGGCTAGATTCCTTTCGGACTTGGCAATGGTGGCTCGGATGGCTTTCCAGCTCGATCCCGGGGGCGCAATGACGTATCTGACGATGAGCCCAGTGATGCAGCTGCAGCCGGACATGTACAAGCGCCGCAGTGGACGGGACGAAAACTATGTGGTCGGGGAGTTTTTCGCGCACTGTGAAGGGCGGGAGAAAAGTTGTATTCCCATGGGGATCATGTTCGTCCGGTGAGCTGTCTTTGACTTGCGCTTGATGATTTCGAGAGCTGATCTGGAGTCGCTTCTCGAGTCATATCTTGACGAACGAGCTCCCGATCCAGATTAGCGTGCTTTGCGACTTGCTCGAGTACTTGTGCACGCGCATCGTCGTCGCCGACCGGATGGCTCGTGGTTCCCCGCATAACCTCACCCTGCCACTCAGTTGGCTGTCGAATTGGCGGAGCGTTGTCGGAGAGGGAAAACGTGTGATCAGTGCTTTCGACCTGTTCACGCAGAGCCTAGTCACGCTGCTGACTTGCCTTTACTACGGCGAGCGTGCGGAACATCTCTTGTACGAGAATCGGCATCTTGGGATGTTGGGCTGGAGGCATCGGGATGTGTTTCTCTCTCGGATGTGAGTGGGTTTCAGTCTGCAGTCGCGTTTTGCGTTCGGATTGATCTGATCATGCGCCTATTAGCTGTCGCTGCTACAGTCTGCTCGCGTATAACATACCTGATGAAGGCTCCGGTATGATGCGAGTAGGAGGATCTCACATCTGCGACGCTCGGATCCCACCTACAGGAAGATGACAATGTCGCATGGGTATCTGATCGCTGAGAACTGGCGGGCTACGGTGAAAGCGCTCCGCCGCTCGACGGCTGATTCGCCTCTAGACGAGCTGGTCCTGCTGTACAGTGCTGACTCTCCACCGCCTCGACCGATTCGCAACGTTCGTCCGATTGTTTTCCAGACTATCGATGACATTCCTCGACTTCTCGGTTCCCGAGAAGTTCGCGTTGAGGCCAAGCCGGACACCACCGCCATCGAGGTTTTCATTCCAGAGGAGGATGAAGAAGAGGAGGAGCTGATCGAAGGAGACTCTGTGTTGCTGCCTGAGAGCAGTGCTGCTGCAGCTGTCTCTGAGGAGGTGGTGATTCCCACAATCGAAGCCGTGCAGAGGACGGAGGAGGAGATCCACAAGGCTGTCGTGATTCAGCGGGCGTTCCGACAGATGTTAGCCAGAAAGCAAGCTGTCGCAAAGCAGGCGACGCTGGCTGCTGGCTGCTCGGCCTGGTTCAAGGCGTGTCTCAAAGCAGCGCCCGCGGACAAGGTCAAATATCGGGTGCGCTTCCTCGGGCCGCTGCCGCATCTGCTCCTTTGCCTGGAGGATGCATCGGCGACTATACAGGAACAGAAGAACCGGGTCAAGAAGGGGCTGAAGGATGCAAGGCATGAGCGCTTGGAGGAACTGGATGGGCATTTGACGAGGATTACGTGCGTGTGCAGATGGTTTTGCTTCCTCTGTTTGGAGTCTCACGACGTTTCATCAGACAAGCGTTGAAGCGGATCAAGCGCACACAGAAGCAGCTGTCACCGACGTCACCGATGCACGACGGGCAGGACGTTGGGCAGCTCAAGAAAGCCGTGAATGAGGCGGTCGAGCTCGTGCGTGAGTTGGCTGAAACATGGACGTTGTCGGAGGGTGTGATGGATGTGCATTTGGAGAGAGCGTATAAGGGGATTGTGCAGCCGAGAATTGTGAAGCCAAAGAAGAAACCAGAGTTGAATCTGGACGAGGAAGATCTATCTCTGGTAATCTTGTCCTATCTCTGGTAATCTTGTATCTCTGGTAATCTTGTCCTATCTCTGGTAATCTTGTACACAAAAGCAGGTTTTCGTATCTTGACTGAGATGCAGGATCGGAATGCGTCTGGTCCAAACGACGGTGACAGCCATACTCTGGGAGATGGAATCGAAATGGGTGACAAAAAGAGAGCCGAGTGAAGTAAGACGAACTTTGCCGGGTATCTAATAAGATCAAGAGACGAGTGACCAAGCTTTTGCTGTCTCCAGGCCCGCATTGGATGTGCCATTGATTCCAGTAGCACTGATCGTGAAGTCAATTGTCCGTCGTGAAGTCAGTCGCCCACAACTCTAGATGGGGCAAGGACTCATTAGTGGCACGGCACAGCAGACCAATGGGGAATATATTGGTCCGTTTCCTGCCTCCCACTGACTCCTGGAAACAAACTAGCACCTTCGATGGCTTGGAAGACTCAGGTATGACTTCAGCATATCTGCCGATATCTGCGTCTTGCTTGCCGCAGTCGAATCCGATCACAATCACCCGACCTCGGACAGTGCTGATGCACTGATCATCGGGCACTGTCCTCACTGGCTCCAGACATTCAGCTGGCACATAAGCGTTATCGTAGCCGCCCAGCTGGATCAGCACAAATTTCTGCATGAATTGGCGTCGATTCCAGGGCATGCTTTGAGAGGGGACTACAAGCCCTGTCTTGCCAGCGTGTTGGAATGTCTTCTTCTTGAAAGCATTAAGATAGCGGCTGTTTTTGCCCTTCATTCGCTCCTTTTCCTTGTCTCTGGCATTCTCGATCTCTGCCACTGATTTCACTCTAACGTCGATGCGCTTGCCCATCAAGTCTGGATGCGCAAGCCACATATCATCATGCTCAAAAACGTCTTACAGTTGAATCAGAGATCTCTCTGGATTTTGCTCTTGACAGACCCACCTGTTGGCTTATCAGACAACGATGATCCCTTGGGCGTCTCATAGTTTCCTTCCACGCTCTCATCTGGGGGCGGAATTACCTCTCGATGTGGATTTCTGATGCGGTGGAGCAGGTCGTCGTAGAACGTGTCCGGTTGTGAGTCCTGTACAGTTCTGCGACGAGGATCAGCGAAGCAAGCCGCATGCACGAAGAACATACTGAATCTCGACCACCTGGTCCAATTCCACGTAAGCCTTGGCGCCAACGTCCAGATTTAAAGTGAGCTCGACGACACGCTCCCGCGCAGATTCCTGCCCGACAGTAGGCTTCTTGGGTTGATCAATGTGCCGATAGCCAACGACAAGTCCAATATGCCCCTCATGGGCATGTTTGCCAGTGATCATGAAGCGCCGGCCCGTGAAACCGAACCTAGATTCCATGAGGTGTCGTTAGAGCTTTGCTTGTTGGTATCCGGTCGTGTCGGGTACAAGCAGCGCAATGGCCCAAGAGGGATAACAGAAGAGAGATAGCAGCCCACGCATAGATGTGACGCCAATGGTCACATCACTCCTCAATGGAGGACTTCAACCACCACATCGCCATAAAGCTGTCCAGGGCACTCAACACAATCAACCCGAACGATTTATTGGCTCGTAGTGTCACTGAGATAGCCAAGTCCAATTCGGTGGAGGACTTCATCAAAGGTTTGTCTTCCAGATCAAGCTGGTCTATCCTATACACATACTGGACGGTCCTGACGCTCTTCTCTCCAGCGGCGCGAGCTTTCGGCAAGTTTCAGGACCATTTCTTAGCTGAGATCCATGTCGAGATCTTGTCGCATGAAAAGCAGGAAGCGACCGGCCTCGTACCGCGACCAGTGGAGGGGATTACGGTACATGACTCTGAGGTGCTGGAACCCGCGCCGGCACGGCCTGGCGGGCTCATGCGGCCAGATCAGGTACGCGCCCGCCATTTTCGGCCTTCAATCCACGTCCTGACGCCTTCACTTCCAGCGACACACTTTCCGCCAACCTGCCAAACCACTGGAGCCGCCCACCCCCCGTGCTTCCGTCCTCGGTCTCGACCGACTCGCGCAAGAGAAGAGAGCAGCCGCAGCAGCTGAGGAGGGGAGCAGGAAACGGCCTCGATTGGATGACTCCGAGCCTGTTTTCAAGGGTGTGTGACAGCGTTCACTTCTTTGCATTCAAGTCCTCATCTGGCACAGTGCCGAGCCTGCCCGTATCACGATCCAGCAACCAGCGACATCGAGGCGAAGAAACTCCCTCCCATCCCGGTGGTCTGTCAGAGGTCGCGCGGAAAAGGTTGGAGGAGCACAGACGGAGTCGAGAAAAGCAACGAGGTGCGTTCGCTGCCATACAACATCAGCTCGCTTATGCTACGAAGAGGGTATCTCCGCTGCAAACGAACGTCGGGAGGACGAGCCAAAGGGTCTAGGCGACTTCCAACGGCGGTCTAACCGTGACCGCGACCGAGGCTGGAGCCAACGAGGTGATAGGAACAATGGCCGCAGCTGGGATAGCACGCCGCGTTCTGTTAGAGGTGGGAATGGAGATGCTCCGAGTGTGCGAGTGCCCAACGTTGGGTGGGACTCGACCCCCCGCAGAGCCGGGGATTCAGAACCCGGTCGAGGAACTGCCAACCGCCGTTGGGACGCCCCCACTCCCAGGAACGTCCGCGCCGGCAGTCCAGAGTCTGCTATCGGTCTCGATGCTCGGGAGTGGGAGGAAGAACAAATTCGTTTAGATCGTGATTGGTATTCCGGCGCCGAGGAGGGTGGGATTGCTGGTGACGAAGAGCATAATCCATTGGCTCAATATGAGGATTTGAGTGCCCTCAAAACGGCAGAAATTGCGCAGAAACAAGTGGTGGGTGTTATTCTTTCGCTACCGAGAATCATCTGGCTAATCTACCTTGCAGAAAAAAATCTCTGCCAAACAAGCTCAATATGTAGGTGGCTGTCATTCGACGTTCGGAACTATCCCTAATTGACCGCCTAGAATGCCGACAACGACCTGTGGGAGTCTAACCGAATGGTGACATCCGGAATAGCCACTCGCAAAGGTGTGGACATGGACTTTGAGGACGAGTCTGAGTCCACAGTGCATGTGCTCGTTCATGATCTGAAACCTCCTTTCCTTGATGGGCGGACTGTGTTCACGAAGCAACTCGCTCCCATCAATCCCATCCGAGATCCCACGAGCGATATGGCCGTGTTCTCCCGCAAGGGAAGTGCGTTGGTGAAAGAGAAGCGGGAGCAAGCGGAACGAGCTAAGGCTGCAGCAAAGCTCGCCGCGCTCGGAGGAACAGCGCTGGGCAATATCATGGGGGTGAAAGACGAGGAAGCTGACGCCCAAGGTGCGTTTTTCGTTTGCGGATGGCCCAGAGTGTGGACATTCACGTAGTTTCCGGTGAACAGCTGAAGAAGAGCGGAAAGAAAAGGAGCGCAAGGCAACCGGGCAGACGGATGACTACAAGGGCGACTCCAAGTTTGCCTCGCATCTCAAGGCATCGACGGGTGTCAGCAGTTTCGCGAAGAGCAGGACACTCAAACAGCAGCGCGAGTACCTGCCGGCGTTCGCCAGCCGGGAAGAGCTGCTCAAAGTTATTCGGGAGAACCAAGTGATTGTGGTCATCGGGGAAACGGGGTCTGGAAAGACTACGCAGCTGGCTCAGTTCTTGTACGAGGATGGGTACTGTCAGCACGGTCTCGTGGGATGCACACAGCCTCGGCGTGTGGCTGCCATGTCTGTCGCCAAGCGAGTCAGCGAGGAGATGGAGTGCAAGCTGGGCTCGACTGTCGGCTATGCGATCCGGTTCGAAGACTGCACGTCCGCGGAAACCAAGATCAAGTACATGACCGACGGTGTACTCTTGCGTGAATCTCTGAACGAGGGCGATCTGGATCGGTACACCGTCATTATCCTGGACGAAGCGCACGAGCGTTCACTCAACACCGATGTCCTGATGGGGCTGCTCAAGAAGAGTGTGTGCGTTTCTTATGAGCGTGATTTGTTTTACTGACATCCGCGCTAGTTTTGTCTCGACGTCGAGATCTCAAGCTCATCGTGACTTCAGCAACGATGAACGCAGACAAGTTTTCGTCGTTCTACGGCAACGCGCCTACTTACACGATTCCCGGACGAGCCTTCCCTGTCGAGACCTTCCACTCGAAATCTCCGTGTGAAGACTATGTCGACAGTGCTGTGAAGCAGGTGCTTCAAATTCATTTGTCGCTTCCAGCCGGGGATGTTCTAGTTTTCATGACAGGACAAGAAGACATTGAGGTTACTTGTCAGGTCATCAACGAGCGAGTGGCTCAGTTGAACGAGCCGGCGCCGATTGCGGTGCTGCCAATCTACTCGCAGATGCCGGCGGATCTGCAGGCCAAGATCTTCGACGCGACGAGCGATGGGCGGCGCAAAGTGATTGTGGCTACCAACATCGCCGAGACGTCATTGACAGTCGACGGTATCTTGTATGTCGTCGACGCGGGGTACTCGAAGCTCAAGGTGTACAATCCCAAAGTGGGAATGGACGCGCTCCAGATCACGCCGATCAGCCAGGCCAATGCGACACAGCGGACGGGGCGAGCGGGGAGAACCGGCAGCGGATTTTGCTATCGGCTGTATACGGAGATGGCCTTCCGGAATGAGCTGTTTGAGAGTACGATCCCGGAGATCCAACGGACGAATCTTGCCAACACGGTGCTGCTGCTCAAGGGCCTGGGCGTGAAGAACCTGCTCGAGTTCGATTTCATGGATCCGCCTCCACAGTCGAACATCCTCAACTCGATGTACCAGCTGTGGGTGCTCGGTGCGCTCGACAATGTCGGGGATCTGACTTCGGTCGGACGGAAGATGAACGAGTTCCCGATGGAGCCGAGCATGGCCAAGATGCTGATTGCGTCGGTCGGGTATCGCTGCTCGTCGGAGATGCTGACGATCGTGTCGATGCTGTCCGTGCCGAGCGTGTTCTACCGGCCGAAGGAGAGGATGGAGGAGGCAGATGCTGCGAGGGAGAAGTTCAATGTTCCCGAGAGCGACCATCTGACGCTGCTGAATGTGTTCAACCAGTGGAAGAGCCATGGCTTCCGCGACGAATGGGCGATGCGGCATTTCCTGCATCCCAAGCTGCTGCGCAAGGCGCGTGAGGTGCGGGTGCAGCTGGAGGACATCATGAAATTCCAGAAGATGGAGATCATCTCTGCGGGGACGGACTTTGATGTGCTGCGCAAGGCGATCGCGGCGGGGTACTTCCACCAGGCGGCGCGCGCCAAGGGAATCGGGGAGTTTGTGAACATCCGGTCTGGGCTGCCGACGCATCTGCATCCGACCAGTGCACTTTACGGGCTTGGATGTATGTGTCCTCTCGTGGTATCTATCTATTGTGATTTGTGCTGACTGTTTTACCCAGACACGCCTCCCTACGTGATTTATCACGAGCTGATCCTGACGTCGAAGGAGTACATGACTCAGGTGACCGCGATTGATCCATACTGGCTGGGTGCGTGTCTCTTTCTCTTTCGGGGGTGCGTTCTCTGCTAACATCTCGATAGCTGAGCTTGGATCTGTCTTCTACTCGGTCAAGGAAAAGAACTTTGACGAACGAGGGAACCGGCGACAGGCCGATCGCGAGTTCTCAAAGCGGGCTGAGATCGAGACTGAGATGGCGCGGCAGAGGGAAGAGTGCGTGTTTTGGCCCGGATCTGCAATCAGTTTCCAGCTACTGACTACTCTTTGGCAGAACCGCACAGAAAGCGGCGGATGCGGAGCTGGCTGCGCAGACGAGCAGCAACAGCAGCTCCCGAGTCATCGTGCCTGGGACACCGCGGCATGCGGGGAACGGCGCTGGTGGGCGAGTCGGACAGACGCCCAGGCGGATACTGGGTCTCTGAGAGGAGAATTGTGTGTAGCAGCTTTGTAGTGTGTACACAATATAGTATGTAAGCTGAAGAGCGGCAGGGCCTCGCATCCAGACAACTCCACAACTCCCTGCTCAGACTGAATGAACAGACAAGGACATTGTGTGAGGAATCATGAGCCCGCTCGCCAGAATGACCCGGACTGAAAGCGGACGACGCTCAGAGGACTCCATGCATTGGAATTAGATGGTAGATATTACAAGCTTGGTATGATACTACTATGGTCATAACATTATAACATTGATACAGCGTGTCGGAATTTCGCCGACGAACGGATATATCTCCCGCGACCACTAGACGACGTCCTTCCTGACCCGCCTGTGCTTGCTCGCCTTGGCGCTGCGCATCCGGATGCGCTCTCCGTACACGTAGAACACGAACGGGATCGGCAGGATGACGACGCTGACGAGCGCGAGCAGGAGGCCGGCGTACTGGAAGCCCATGTGGTGGAACATCTGGTTCACGAAGAGCGGGACAGTTGCACCCACGAGCGAGCGCATCAGCGTCTTCGCTGCGATCGCCGAGGCGGCGAACTCGGAGTACGAGTCGACGATGTACGAGTTGGCGGACACGTAGAGCAGGATCATCGAGAAGCCGAAGATAGAGCCGGCGACGCACGGGCCTGGTGAATGGATACATGCATCAGCAGGGTTGGCGGAGGCGCACCGGGAAACAGACATACCCATGAAATTGACCCAACGATAGCCTCCGGTGAATGCAAAGATGAAGAGAGCACAGGGCAATGTACTGCTGAAATTCAGATGTCGTATGAGCAGGAAGAGCTTGGCACTTACATGGATCCCAGGAGCATCGGGTACAACCTTGCCTCGGGGAAAGTCCCATTCTTGGTCACTTTAGCGTAAATGTTCTCTTGACGCGGCATGAATATCATGGCGATGGCAATACCAATCTGCGCTTGAAATCAGCCCCATGAAAATGAAGGACATGTAGAAGACTTACGGCAACGCTGACCAGCGTGGTGCCAGTGATGCCACCTCCAAAGCCTCGAACTTCAGCAAATGCGATCGGAAAGGCGAAGAACAACAAGTCTGTCCAAGCGTAAGTGTCCGTCGACATTCATACAGTAGTCGAAACATACAAAGCAGGGCATAAACAAAGGAGAGATCTAAATAGACCAAGTCAGCATGGTAGATCCACTCGAACGCTTGAATCAACTCACAAAAAGACATAAATAGCACAACTGGTTCCATGAACATCATGACCAAGGGGCGCGTCAACGCATCCTTCATCTTCCGGCCGATTGGAACCTTTTCAATCTCTGCCAACGACCGGTAGTTGCTGTCTCCTGTCTCCTTGCGCATCGCGGCGGCCTTGCGTTGAAGAAGGATCGGAGCGAGGGTCTCGGGGATGAAGAGCGTGAACACGAAGACGCAGCCGGTGAAGATAAACAGGACCCAGTAGATCCATCGCCAACCTGCGCGCTCGCCGATCCAGCCTCCGAAGATGGGGCCTAGACACGGGCCCAAGCTGGTCTCTGGTTAGTGCGATGGATTATGCGGTATGTATGGGAGATACGTACAAGACGGTGACGGAGAACATGGCCATCGGAATACCTCGCTGCTCGATTGACCAGATGTCGGTGATACTGTGGTTCACACCCGTCAGCGATGGATCCGATGAAACACTTTTCTAGGCTCACCTGCCGCCCACGTTACACATCGGCGCAGAGGCAGCCAGACCTGCGATCTGACGCGCCACGACCAAAGTAGCCGAGTTCTTGGCAAGCGCGCTGGGTAGCGTGAAGATGAAGTAGAAGAACATGCTGATGATGTAGGTCGGGCGGCGACCGAAAACTTCTGAAAGAGGCGCCAGCACGAGGGGGCTAGAGGAGCGGTCATGAATGTCTGACAAGCGGAGTTGGAGCATATACGAACCCGACACCAAATCCGATAACGAAACATGTAACGCTGAGGTTGATGACCTCTTGCTGTGCATGCAGGCTCGCAGCAGGGCCTTGTAAACTGGTCAAGAACGGTCAGCAACTCAGTTCGAACAACAACAGCGGCATCCGAACGCACTCTCCAGTGACTATCGAGCTCCCCAGCGCGACCGTCAAACATACTAGAAGCATCTCAGCAAACTGCCCACGAAAGAACTCAAGGTCTGTGCACTCACGGAATGCGGTCGTAATCGTAACATACCACTTCCGCCCCGAGCTCCATTCACGTGGGTCCTCACCGGCGCCGGGCGTAAACATCACGACATGAGGGTCGACCTCCTTCGACGGGAGCACGCCGACAGGGGACCCGACGCGCGTCAGCGACGCACGGGGTGAGCCCTCGGCTTCGAGCTGCCGGAACATCTCCTCCTGCTCGGCCGAGAGCGCCGGCGGGTCGGCGAATTCCGCTTCAATTGGTTCAGATGGCATGCTTTTGCGGGATCAAGCGACAATGGGCGGTGGGTGTCGAGGGGGAGGGGGAGGGGCGAGTCTGTCTGGGTTCTGACGGTGGGCCGCGCAGGGGTTTATATGCTGCTGGGGATCGTGCGCGACGCCCGCGGATGGGGACGACGCAAGAGGTGCGCGTCATAGTGCGTGTCCGAGCGGACCGCGTACATCGGGATCAACTTGAAACCGACGATTTGCGCTGTGGACGACGGCGCGCTAGAGGCAAAGACTGCGGGGAGTAGGCACGAGAGGAGCAAGATGCGAAAGGCCTCGAGTTCAATGCGTGACTTCTGGCAGTCTGGTGTCCCCCATCCTCACTTCTTCAGATTGAAGGTCGATCTGTGCATGAAACCCAAGAACAGATCCTTCATATTGAAGATCGGTGGCGTTGATTGCGCATCAATGTGTCATCACGATCTTGGTCGGGGCTAGTCGGGCCAATGTCGAGCCGGAGACCAGCTCGTAAACAGGGATTGAAAGAGTCTTGAAGTCAATGGTGTGTCGTTCCAGGAATCTTCGGGACGTTAAGCGACAAACCTTCGTCGACAGGGCTCCTTTGACTTGAAGAGACTTGAAGCAAGTAGATGTTTAAGACCCGTCAAGGCATTCACGTGCGATCAGTGATATCATCTCACGTGACAAGGATCTCCAACTTGAGACTTGGAAATCGAAGGATGCACAGTTTCAAGTCGATTTCACGCATGGTTCGAAATTTCATGTGGAGAGGCTTATACACCATCTTTACATACAGTGCAGTATTATGAGATGAATCTATTCCAGGTGTTCTACTTACATCTATTGAGCCACACGCTCACAAAACCACAGCTCTGCGCGGATCATAAGCCGTGCATTCTACCAACCTGAGCCATGCTGTACGTTGCTGCTCTCTACTACCCTGGGCACCCGCATATTTCCCACCGATGGAACCACCTCCAAATGCAGCAGTGCCCGCCGAATCAGGAATACAGAAATCCCCGCCGGTGGCGACAAGCTGAGGAAGGCAGAGGCCCAATCGCGGAAGAGTCGATGGGGAAGACGCGTAATTGTAGATGCGAATCCGCTGCGCAGCTGATAGCGATGGCGCGAAGAAGGACAGGATGTGCTGCTGCAGCTCAATCGGGAGTGAAGGAATCGGTGAGGTGCCCGTTCCGTCTGTCTCCACTTGCCTCGAAGAGGGGGACTGATCCTCGGAGTCACAAGAGCAGTCGTTCACACGAGACGTATTGTTCCGTGTGTGGCTAGACACTAGAAGCAGGGGTCGTGAATACTGCAATAATCTCAGCGCGTCATTCTCTGTCTCCCGCTTCAGGTGCCCGTTGCGCAGAAGTATCCGTCGTATCTGGCTCTCGCAAGCCTTCCATGCATCCAGACCAGCAGGCACCATGTCATCTTCCTCCTCGTCTTCTGACGCGTCGCCATCGTTCACGGGGCCATCCGCATTGTTCGAGTACAGTTCCAGCGACTGGATCGAGAAGTTGTGCCGCTCGATAGCCCGGACGATAGACCTCACGCCCCGGTACCCAAGGCTGTTTCCGTTGCACTTGAGAGTGTGCAATTTGCAGCGGGCGGAGCCCAGATAAGCGACCAGGTGCGGAGCGGCACGGGCGGTGAGGCCAATCGCAGAGAGATGGATCTCGCCCAGGCGCGGAGCGTCGAGCGAGGCCAGGAAGACCTCGAGAAAGGAGTCGGAAAGCCCGTGGTTCGTCGTGAGGGACAGCAGCTCGAGGTTCGAGGCGTTCACTGCGGCAGCGAAGGCGCTAAATGTTGCTGGGTCGTGCGTGAAGCAGTTCTATATGGCGCGGCGCGTTACTGACGCCTGGAGGAGTGCTGCTGGTTTATGCCACGCACATTCTGGAGAAACAGCTCCCGCAACGCCCCCGCGCCACTCAGATACTCGGATACCGCCAGCAGCCCCCTGTTGCCGATCCCGTTCGCGTTCACGCTGATCTCCGTGATCTGGTACTTCCTTCCGAGCGCGGAGGACAGAAACGTGAACAGAACGACGCAACCGTCGTCGCCCAGCTCGTTGTGGCCGAGGATCAGCCTCGTAACCGACCGGCGTGAGGACAGGAGTCCAATGATTGTCTGCGCGCCTGAAATTGGCTGTCAGAGACTCGGGGAGCGAGGAGAAGGGAGTGCAGAGTAGGGGTTCAGCTGTACACACCTGTCACTGAAGTCAGCCCTGCGTCCATCAGAGAGAGCAGAGCGCGAGGAGCTTTAAGATAACCCATGGCTGGGGCTCTCGAATGATGCACAATCGAATAGCGATTCCGCACTGAAATTTGAGAGGCAGGGAAAGGATGCACCAAAGCACTGTCAAAATGAAACAGCGCAAGGAATCATTATTTCATTCCACTCGTAAGACCATGAGACGACTATAAAGACTAAATATGTATCTACTTTGTTGTACAACGCACGACCGCAGCGACTAGTGGAACTGACCGACGGCCGGGCCGAAGGTGCCGTTCACGGGGACTTCGAGTCGTGCGCATCCAGCACCGTCACAGCCAAGGAACGGCCGGTTGTTGCCGATCCAGTCGATGTTGATGTTCGACCACTGGACGGCAAAGAAGATGACGATGGCGGAGATGGCGATGGCGGCCGAGAACGCAGTCGTCATGATGCTGCGCAGGAGGATGAGCCATGCCATAGAGAGCGAGCAAACGAGACGACGCACTAGCTGTATTTACTCCACCAGGCAAGGTAGCGCTTCTTGATGTACACATTGAAGAACCACGCAACGGGAACAGCGGGCCAGATGTTGCCCAAGTTTCCGGGCGCCCAGATCAGTCCACCAGCGATGATCACCGGCAAGTGGACGTGCTCGAAGATTCGGAAGCGCTTGCGGAGGAAGTAGAAGGGGATGGGCAGCAGAGCACCGATGAGGAAGCAATACAACAGGCTGTTATAGATACCGCCGGCACCGAACATGCGCTTGGGGCCAAGGGTTCCCTGCAACGCGTGATTAGGAAGATGACAACGAAGAGCAGACAAAAGGCACGAACCCAGAGCACACTGGCAGTGAAGAAAGTGTTGATACCCGGGCAGATGAAGTGGTTGACCTGGTGCGGCGTGCAGACACCCGAGATCTGGGTCATCTGGAAGTTGAGGATGGCAGCGCAGATGAGCGAGGAGACCAAGGTCGCCCAGATCTGAGCATAGAACGTGACATAGGGCGGCAGATGCATGTAGTGGGCCAACTTGAGGTCCTGCGCGAAGTTGAGCGTGTGGGCCGTGGTCACGTAGCCGTAGGACTTGAAGAAGTTCATGGCGATCGCATTGCCGGGGAACCAGAGACCACCAAACAGCTCAGCCAGCACGTTGAGCGTGATCTGCACACTGGTGATCGACTACGAGGACGTCAGTCACCGCACAGACTCGACGAGGAAGGAGGAGCACTGACGTAGATGATTCCGATGGGGATCACGAAGATGGCAGCCAAGAAGACACCGTACAACACAACAGCGGGTGTGGTCTGCGTCGGCCAGCCACCGATACCGCCAGCGCCAAGAGCGATAGCACAGACCAGGATGCTGGGGGAACATGTGAGTGAGGGTCCCCCGTAGCAACAATCAGTGGACGCACAGGAAATACTGCCATTCGGGAACCTCCTTGTAGTTCTCCATCAGCCGAACGTGAACGTCCCGGTGCACATCCGAAGTCTTCTTGCCAAAGGAGAAGATGCTGCGGAAGCCGTGCATCATCTCGCGGCGGTGGTAAAGAATCGCATGCGTCAGAGTTGCCGTGTAAACCGCGAAGAACACGCCGTAGATGGTGATGTTACCGGATGCGAGGCTGGGCTAGATGAGGACAGCGGAGATAAGATCGGCAGAGACACGTACTAAGCAGGCGAGTAGTTCTCGTATCTGGCTTGATTGAAGAGCTTGTCAGATCCGGTAGCGCGAGAGACGTTGTATGGGCTGGCGGTGTTGTCGAACACGTGCTGAAGAAAGATCAGCACGTAAGTAAATGGTCCCAAACGCTCGAAAACGCACGTTGGAGTTGATCGGCAGGTATCCGGTGTTCCAAGTGTTGGTGTACCAGATGGCCACAATCACGGGGAAGGTGATCAGTGCACCGATGAAACTCTGAAAAATCCACATGAACAAAGACGCCCAGCAGGCACAGGGTGACTCACGTTGAAAGTCGCCTTGGGAGCCGGAGTCAGCGGCTGGATGAATGGATGTATGGAACTACACTCACATAGAAGGGCGAGATGATAGGGTCGAGCAGATAGGTCAATTGATTCCAGTCGAAGGTTGGCACCGGGTTGAATCCGAGACCAGAAACAGTACCGGTGATGGCCGCAAGGTCGACGTTGTCCGGGGCAATCCAAGTCATCCAGTTGAAGTAAGACAGAGCCTGGAAGATGTAGCTGCAGAAGGACGACGTCAGTGACAGCCCTCATTGGAGAGGAGACGGACGCACTTGGGGAACCAGAAGTACACAAACATGCCCGCGAAGCAGTACAAGAACCAGCGCATACGGGACATGCGCCATCCGTTGGCGACGGTGGCCTTCTCCGAGTGGAACGCACGGTTAAGAGCGATCGACTATTATGCCCGGTGAGAAACAAGACCTGAATCGTTACGGAGAAGACATACCGAAAGGTTGTAGTACCAGATGGCCGACGCGGGATAAACCAGGAAACGACGGGTAAGACCGGCAAGTCCATATCCAATCAAGTTGGTCGACAAAGCGATGGTAACTGGAGATATGGTCTGAGAGACAGTCGACTCGAGAGCCACGCCTGCGCACCTTGGTAGCCGAAGTTGGAAGCCCAAGACTGGTTGAAATACAGCGGCAAGTATTGGACCCAGATGATGTTGTTTCTACATGGCGAATGAGAGATCGAACTGGCCACGAAGAAGTTCCTTACGTGTATGGGGTGCTGAATCCGACGTTCGCCATGATAGTGATGATCATATGCTCCTTGGGGTTGAAGGGTCCACTGGATGGCAGTTAGCGAACAAGGTCTCCATACACAAGTTCAAGCCAACGGACGGATTGAAGCTCCAGGTGTGGCCGAACGTGGTGAATTGACGAGTAGGGAGCAGAAGCTCGAACAGTTTGCCAGCCGGGTACGCCAAGATCTGGGCGACATTCGACCCAACACTGATACCGGGGTAGCTGGATTCCGAATGAGCAATGCACTGCGCATAAAGGGGATGGCACATACCGAATGCTGAAGAATTGGTTGATGAAACCACTGGAAGTGGCCGTGAGTATAGATCGGCAGACGATGCGCAGCTGTCACAAACATACCCAACACCGACGAAGACAGTTCCGATGACAAATGCGCGGAAGCTCATGACAGGCAAGGTCGGGTCATCCTTGTTGGAGACGACAGCGCGAACTTCAGCATACGGCGAGTTCTTTCGAGTCCGTGTGAGTGTTTTCAATCATAAAGCCGAACGCATGCAACTGACCACCAGCATCATAGCAGCCTCGACCTTGAGCTCCTCGTAGATGCGCTGGTACTCGAGCGCATCGTCCTTGAGAGTCGGATCGTTCAGGTAGCGGCTGAGTGATATGTCAGTCTTCGCAGACACCGGTCTGGGCAGGAACTCACTTGGCAGCAGCAATGACGTGAACGGGGAAGTTCTATGCCGACACGATCAGAAACAGCAGAAGCAATGCAGGAAATCAATCATACAGGGTCATCACCGTGCTAAGAAGAGACAGTGTCAGTAGGTATCAGAGAACGCGAACAATGGAACACACCTCAGTGACGATGAGGTGGATGGTCTGCTCGATCTCCTCCGCGCTCATGGTCTTCGCATACTCAGCCGCCTCGATGATGTCCTCCGGGAGGGACTCGATCTCCTTTCCAAGGACATCCTAAACGGGGACCTTTCAGAATCGAACCGCAGCGACGTGAACCGCAGCAAACTCACGACGTCCGCGAGGACTCCGCCCTTCTCAGAGATAGAGCTGGCGGAGTCCTTCTCGTTGATCTGCTTCTCTGCCATAGTGCTCGAGGACAACGGTGCCGGGTGTCAACGGGAGCAGCAAGAGTGAGCGAGGGAGCGAGGGGCGCTCAGATACAGGACAGAACGAGCTATCTGTATCAAGGAACCCATCGAATCCCTCGCCGGTATATAAAGCCTCTGCTTCGGAGAATCCACATTCGGCAAGCGGTGCGATCTTGATGGACGCGCGGACGCGAGATAAGTGATTTGACGGCGGAGCCAGACGGACCCATGAGGTGCATATGTGCCAGTGACTGATAGTGGAGAATCAGCGCTGTGTCCGAGGTCCGGGCGGCTTGACTTGCCACGAGGCGCCTGTCGTTGTGGCCTCATTCCTCGACGGATAGACACCATAATTCGCGACTTTGTGCCTCGTTTTGCACATTTCGTGCTGGTCGTCAGAGCAGTGTTATCGCCGCGATCATCACCTGCATGCCATCAGTCGACGCATCAAATACCTGAATCAGGCACCTGCGTGAGTGCGACTTGTCTGCACACGAGCATCGGAGCAGATTCCCACGCCATCCGGATTCGATTTAGTTCGGGGGGAGCAGGTCTGGGCAGGTATGTATCTGGGCATCCCAGGGAGCCCCGAAGATAAGAAAGGGGGGTGCAATTCAGTGCGCGGACATCCCAAGCCGGGGGTGAATTGACCCGACAAACACACACACAAGCTCACAACATTGAGCAAGACAGCGAGCATATGGGTCTGACACTGTTATCGCTGAGAACTCTGCTTGTCCCTGGCCCAAGACATTCCAAGCGGAGCGCGCGGTTTGATGGGACAAGCCTGTTACCCTTTTCCAGACTAAAATTCTCGGAGGGTGACAGGGCGTTCGTGGCGCTTGCAACGCGCGAAATCTCCTGAGAAACACCGACGTTTTCCTTGTGGTTGAGAGGGGCACGGGATCGCTTTGGGTGCAGTTTTTCATCATATGTCATGCCATGTCAACTTTCAAGCTTCCATGCAAGTGCACATCCATCTCAAACCCATTAGAACGTGGCTCCAGAGGGGAGTTGTCCACCGAGCGCTGACTGCCTGTCTCAATCTTCCACCACTCTTGAGAAGGTACCATCCAGACAGTCTGGGCCCCACACTCTAGTGCCAATACAGAGATCGGTAGACCTCCTCGACTGATGCCGACACAAAGAAGCTCCGCCATGCCCTGGACAGCCATGATATCGGGCTTCGGCCTTCTATACGCCAAGCGATTGAGCAGCACGCGAGTAGATCGCACCACAATTTACCCCGGTCCGGAGCTACGGAGAAGGCTTGCCAGCGACCTGATGTTCCTGGAGAAGCCTGCTCCTCATCGCGGTCTCCTGCGAAGTTTCGCTCGACTTCCCGGATCGTAAATCATCAGAGGTCGTGTATGAATATGGAGTAGGCACAGGAACCGATTCTACCAATAAGATCCGACCACATCATTAGATGCAATCACAAAAAGGCCTGTGCTTGCAGGTTCCATATTTTCGCGTATCCGCCGCCTGCTCTAATAAGTTGGTCGTGTGTTCCTGACTCCAAAATAACAGAATCGTCCATGTACCTGTTGACTCATCAGTATTAAAGTCAGCCTCCAAGCGGAAAGGGCCAACGAACAGGATAAGATCAGCGTGTCGCGTGAGGTTCCCGAAGCGATGGGACGAGAAAATCATAGTCTTGTTTCCTCTCAGCATTCTTAGTCGTTCGAATAAATCTAGGAAAAATAAGCCCCCAACCCAGCGACCGACGTTAAAGATACTCACCGTGTTCAGCAGTCGGATCCAGACTGGCAGACGGCTCGTCGAAACATAGCAAACCAACTCCATCGTCTCGCATGAAGGTTCGTGATCTACCTCTCATCAGTCGAGAAAGCGCGAAAAGAACAGGGAAAAAATTACAAAGCTATTCTCTGCATCTGCCCGCCCGAAAGCCCCTGCTCATGGCTGCTTATCCCACCGGCGCCGCGAATGGATCGATATTCAACAGAGCGGCCGAAGAGGGTTTTCGTGCCCAGCGGCAGAGACGAGTACACATCACCGACCGGACGTTTGAGATACGTGTCGAATCCCTCGTCGAGACGTTCGATGAATTGAGTCGCACCGCCCATTCGTGCAGCTTCCTCCACTCGGTCGCTATCTTCGGCGTGCTCTGGATCTCCAAGCGCGATGTTATCACGGATCTGATCTAGGAGATTAGATTTGATGCCCCAAGATAACCATCGAACGAACCGATAGGGGAAAATGTGTGTAATCTTGGAACAGGACAGAGGTAGCCCGACGCAGGTCGTCCAGCTTGAACGTCCGGATGTCTTGCTCGTTGATGAGGATCGAACCCTCCGTAGGATCGTACAAGCGGGATATCAGCTTCAATATCGTGCTCTTGCCCGAACCGTTCGCCCCGACGATCACCTGGAGAAATTAGCTGGGAGCGGACTCTACAGGCCATTATCACTCACACATAATTGTCCGCGAAGGATCTTGAACGAAACATCATTCAAAACCGCCTGTGGGCTTCCCGGATATCGGAATGACACATTTCTGTCGGTGTTTCAAGGGGTTGAAACCAAGTACGATCGCGCGTGACTCACTTGAATTCGACCGAGATTCCCGACTTGAGGCTCTGTTGATCCTCGGGGAACGAGCTTTGACCATTGGAGATCTGGTTCGGAATCGTGTATGTTTCATACATCCTGCGGATGCTGGCGAGGTTTTCCGCAACGGAGCCAGACTCGTCAAACAAGTCGAACAGGGTGCGGGAGAATTTTGATGTGGTGTGTGTGATTAGATTCAGCGACGCTAGCGAGAGCGGAATATCCGAGGGATGTTGAACGGCCCGTAGTGTAAATACAATTTGGGGTAATTCCCGCAAAGGATCTGAGAGAAAGCCAGCCAGACTGATACGGTTGTTGTAATGATAGTTCTGGAATGTCTGATATTTCTCTCAGCAATATTTCAAGGATATCAAGACGAATCAAACCTGCATGAAATCAGTGGCACTGTCTCCCAGTCTTTGCGTGGCGATTTTATAACCTGTGAGGTTAGGTAAGAGGAATCCAACGGCTCGATTGGCGTACTTTCGGAGAGATAGTTTCCGATTCCACCAGCGACGATTTCCTTCCTGTGTTGCATATCGAAGACGAGGTTTGATAATCCTGCCAACTTGATGTAATCCGGATCTTTCGTCGTTGCCGCCCAGACGCCCACAGGCGACCAAAACCGCTGATTGGCCTTTTTTCGGAACAGGGTGTCCCCAAAGCTCAGAAACGCGAGCAAAACACCGTCGCGCTGGTCGCGCAGCATAGTCAACAGAACGGAGAATTGGGACACGAGTTCGAGCGCTGTCGAGAAGAGGTGAAGCATGGACAGCACCCCATTCCATGCGACGCTGGTTCGGGAACTGGTCGTGCTGTTTTCCAACTGGCGCTGCACAGCCGCGTCAGCATATGTCGGTACGTCTAGGCGTGCGCGCGCGCGGAAGCTCTGCACGGAATAATAGCGTCGGATGCGGCCATTGAGCGGTCTCGAGAGTTGAGATTGAATGAAATGAAGCAGACGGGTTGCGGCAGCACAGATGAGCCGGCTGAGAGCGACTCTGATGAGCACTGCTTTGTCAACTGTCCTGTTTTGAACGGCTTCTTGAACCTGGAAATTACAAAAATATTATGCGTGAGAAGAGGAATCCCAAGGAATCGGAGCACTCGCGATGTTCAGAAGTAGACCAGAATACCTTAGAACTTCGTCAGTCACTGCCCCTGGGCCAGTCCTTCTACCTAAAGTTTACGCACCATAATTCGACAGCGGGAATCAGGGAAAGAATAAGTGTCGTAACGAGGTATCTGCATAATTTCTCTAAGAAACATACCACAGATCCAGGAGCGAATGACGCACGCAGCAAGAAGATACCAACACCCTTTGATAGACGAAATCTCCTTCAACATCCTCCACACATAGGGAAAGCTACCCGTCATCTCGTAGTATGTCTGAAGTCTCGCCTTGACCGACGAGGGCACCAAGTCAGCACCACGCGGTTCGATCTGTTCGTACAAATCCCAGACACCAATCTTCGTATGCCGCACCCTGTCCGTGTCTGAAGGATCAAAGACGCCTTCGTCATCTGTGAAGCGCTGGCGCCGTCCACCGCGGGCCATTTGGATGGGAATGTTGTGGGTGGAAGAGTAGAGCGATGAAAGCAGCGGCTGCGTCAGTGATCGCACTCACGTAACCGCAGCGAAGACAGCCTCGTGGCTCGTCAAATGGAGAAAACTCTGCGATGGACAGATTATGTGCCGATCTTCCTGGTTTTCGCTCTCAATGCTCAGACCAGACGAGGAGAACCCGAAGGCCTGTAGAGAAGATTTGCGTTCTTCGAGTCCAAACACGCGCGGCAGCAATGACGGCGCAAAGACGCGATCAGGTCACAAGTCACACGTGATGCCAATTTTGGGTCTGTCCATCATCCAGGCGAGGTGCGTGTGCTGTGTCCGCAGTGCGGCTGCGAGTCATCGAGCTCACTCACTGTGCGTATGTAGCCAGTACGACAGTGCTGAATGTTTCAAAATGAGCCCGACAACCCCCGCGCTCGCCCGAGGGCGAACACCACGACGGCGTTTACTGCAGCACTCACCGGATGGCGCTCTGGGTCTACTTCGAGCAAGACACAGCTCTCCAAACCCGACACGACACCCCCAGCGACGAACACCCCGCCACCTATGCAGCTGGATGACCTTATCGAGTCGCTGTCATCGCCTGCAGTCATGAGCGTTGCGCACGCTCGCGCGCTTGCAATCACGCTTGGGACGCATTCCCCGGTGCCCCGACCCAGTACGCTTACGCCCATCCTGGAGAAATTGTGCACTCCAGAAAGTCCTGTCTCGTACCAGTGCGCTGGGTTCGACATCGTAACTGCGTACTTTGAGAACCCAGATATTCCGCGGCTGGGGATGGGGGATCGGCTGGCGTACATCGCGTTGTTCGAGGCGTCGATGGATATATGGACTCTGGATGTATGGGAGTCCAGGTTCAGAGCTCTTGCGGCCTTTATCGCGACCAGTGAGCACACGTTGGGCGTCGAACTCAAGGTGCTATATATCCTGAAGGGGTGGATAACTGCCGCTTTTGACTCGATTCTGCACAATGTGGCAATGGAGAGGAAGGAGAGAGAGGAGCGGGAACGTTGTGCGGAGATGGTTTCTCGCTTTCTCTCAGACCTGGTGTGCAAAGGTCCTCAAGAGTTTGTGGCGCGGATTCCAGAGCAAGAGTTCATTGGCGTTCTGGGCTTTTACCGAGATCTCGTGAAGAAAGTGATAGATACGAGCTCTCTCAGACGTCCGTCCCTCGCTTCCCCTCCTCCCCCAGCTCCAGCTTCAGACGGGAGCCCATCACGACCATTCCACCGACGCAACGCCTCATCTGTATCCATCTCCTCCTCGATCATATCCCCACCGATACCTTCTGTACCACCAAAATCCGCGGCGGATATCGCCATTACGATGTATCTGGAACACCACCGACGACACCCCAAAAACCCATCGACCTCGTATCTCAACCTCATTCTCCCTTCCCTCCTCCGTGCCTTGGCACACTGCGCATCTCACACACTTCCACGACTGTCCATATCGAACTCCGGGCCGTCTCATTCTCCGACTTCGGAAGACAAGCTTAACGTCGCGCTGTCGGATCTACTCACTGGGTCGCATGGGACGACGTGCATGCTCATCCTGAAACGACACCTGTCGCCGCCAGATGACTCTTCCGATTCAATAACGATGCGGTCCACGGCAGAAATAGCATTCGGGGCCCAACGGACGTTGCGCTTGCACATTCGGACTGCACTCATGGCCCGCATGACGCGTGACTACATCAACCAACCGACGTACTCCCATTCTGGTGTGCCTGCGAATCTGTCGTTGGATGCGGATGTCCTTGAGCGGGCATGGCCGCGGAATCAGCATGGCTCGTTCCAGGGCCAGTCTGGCTGGGAAGCAGGCAAGCACGCTACATCTCTGACGACCAGTGCACGTGACTGGGTGGCCTTCTGCACCAAGGACGTCACTCTTGATATGCGGAGCACCGCAGAGAATATCTTGGACGAGATTGCGGGAACACTGAAGGATGTCCTGCAAGAGCTGGACAACCGATTGGGCGATGGATCGGTGGCTCTCACTCGGGACGAGGCAATGGCCGTTGGAAAGACTCTGTTCAGATTGGCTGAATATCTGATACCTCTCAAGTATGTGCGCTATGTTTCAGATCGAGTAACAACGCTGACCAGTACAGAAATGGGGATGACAGCCCTTACATCCTCCCGCTTACTAAATTCGGCGACGCACCTACACCGTTCCTTCGATCGCTCACCTTCATCCTTTCACGAGACCACAGTGTCCAGCTCGAGCCACTTCTCTCGCGGATCCTGTTGCATGTGGCCGACCACTTGGAGGATGCGGCGACCGCAAAGCTGCCAATGATCATGAAAGAGCAAAACGATCTCACGCCGATGTCCCCAGATTGGATCGAAAATTGGAGCACTCTGCTGAAGACGCCGACTCTGCTGAGTGCGCGACGTCCGTTGACCAAAAGAGCCATCATGAGCGTTTTGCATGACGTTCATGCAAGCATTGTGGACATGCCTCGCTACCGCAAACCGCTTGTTCAACTCGTGATGGATTCGTGTCAGCGCAGTGTTGAAGACGAGTCTTTGAACCGACTGGATGGAGAGGACCGGCAGGTGATGTGGACGATTCTAGCCGATGAAGCTGTCTACAAACTAGCCGAGGGCGAGGGGCAAGAGGCGGTGACAGCACTGCTTGAGCTGTTCGAGGCTGGTGCTTCCGGAGAGGACTACGACTATGACACGTTTGACGTAGCATCGTCGAGCACGCTAGGGGCTCATCCTACCGGTCCTACTTCCGCCCTGATCACCCCTTCGACCACTGCTTCACCCATCCTCTCAAGAACACAGAGTCACGTTCCTGCCGCCAAAGAAAAAGAGCAGCCCACGGGTCTGATCAATTTTATCTCTTCGCTTGCTTCCGGTCCTTCTTCTCGCTCCCAGTCTATTCCACCTGTGACGGTGGATATTCCGGAAGATTCCATTGTTCCGGAGCCCTTGCCGGAAATCACTCGCACTGTCACCACCGAGGTTGCTGCGGCCTGTGCTTTGGTGCTTGTTTTCAGCCAGATTGCGTTTACCCCTCACGCATTGCACGAGGAGAATCTGCTCGTTGCTATCCGTGTGTTTCGGACGATGATCGCGCTGCTTTCTGACGGGAAATCGGTCAAAGCGAGGCTGACCATTCTCCAGTTCCTGTCGCGTCTACGGGCGGATCGGGACCATCAACTGTACTTCGTGTCAAATAACGATGGGCATGGCCTGGCTGCTATGCTCGGCTCGCTCATCCAGCGATCCAGTGCGAGAGGCACGACTCCCGACTCTGCAGCAGCTGAGCAGTCCAGGGCCCGGCCACGTGTTCCGCGTGCTGCTACCCGTGGCAGGACCGTAGGGTCCGGCTCCGGGACGAGTCGCAGTCGGTCTCGTGCTGGTCCACAACCAGCTACACCCACACTCAAGCTGAGGGATCCGCTCTGGTCGCTTCCGGAATCGCAGCTGCCGTTCACTGTTGCAGATCAAGACAAGCCAAGCGAGAGACTGTCCCTCTACGATCCCCAGGCTCCGGAGAAGATTGTGCTGCCGATCTCAATTTATCTGGTTGCGATTCACGAGATCCTGGAGAGAGAAGAAAGCTGGGAGATCCTCGCGTACGTTCTGTGCCACCTTCCGAACCAACTGGGCAACAAACATCTGTTCTGTGGGCCCAAGAGTCGGGCAGCATGCTCGAAATTGCTGAATCTGCTGTGTTCTGGTGTCTTGACTGAGTCGCTGGCAGCGCAGATTCCTGTTTGGCCGAGTGGACTGAAGGCACGGGATGCTCAGAGTCTGGCATATCACACGTTGTCTGTGCTTATCGGGTATCAGCCGTGCTTCGACCCCCATCAACAGCATTTGCTCGTGTCTGTGTTCCAGAATGGTCTGGACGGGCAGCCTGTTACTATCCAATGCTGCTTGCATGCGCTATCGCTAGCAGCATTCGAGCTACCGACCTCGATGGCCAAGTTCATGAGCCCGATCCTCGAGAAGCTCTCCCAGATCATGTCGAACGCGAACATGGCGGTGCACATCCTCGCGTTCCTTGTGATCATCAGCTCGCAGCCGCGACTGTACGCGAACTTCATCGAGCACGACTTCCGGCTGGTGTTTGGTGTGGCATTGCAGTACCTGCAGCACCAGAATCGCAACCGGGATGACCAGTCGGTGTCGTGGACGCTTTCGGAGTACGTGCGCATCCTGTCGTACTACAATGTGTACGTGTGGTTCCTGGCCATCAAGCTTCCCGACCGGCCCAAGCACATCACATATATCTTGCGGCAGCTCGAGCTCGCGAATGAAGACAACCCAGGGCCAGACGACTCGACGATCGTGTGCTGCGACTGGCTCGAGCGCTACACGTATGCCAGCGCTGATCCGCGGCCCGCGGCGTCTGTTCTGAGCGAGATCGTCATGAATCCGAGTGAACCTGCGGAAGAAGCGATCCAAGAGAAAACCTGGGCGATGGGCAACTCAATCGTGACTGTCAGAACTCTGAAGCGTCGAGGCTGGTTCGAAGTCCTGTCCCGGCGGCCCTCTGGATTCACCAAGATGCTCTGTCGACTGGAGAATTCTCCGCTGGTTGGGCCTGGCGATGTGGATCCAGATTTGGTGTCTGTGCCGGCTGCATTGGTCATGGAGCGAGAGGGTCAGGTGAGTCTGCCTCTCTCGTCCCGTCACAAGTCTCTCATCAACCAAACGAAGCTACCGCCCGGTGAACCGGAGTCCAAGGCGATGATCTCACACCCAAACCCGATTCCATCACGGGCTACGTCTGGAGTGGCACGGCCCCGTCTCAGCGTCGAAAGGCGGTGGAAATTGATCCATCGTTCTTCATCTTGCAAATGTCGGACGGCAGCAAATCAGACCGGCATCTGCTCAACGACGACAAGAAACTGCGGTCGCTCTGCTCCGCGCTGGACCGCTTACCCGTGATTGACACGCACAAAGTGGGCATCTTATACGTCGCGCCGGGGCAAACCAACGAGCTCGAGATCCTGGCCAACACACACGGATCCCCCGCTTACACCAGATTCCTCGAGGGCATCGGCCGACTGATCGATCTCCGCGGGCAGGTGGACGTGTATGTCGGCGGGCTGGAACCTGGGCTGGACGGAGACTATGCGTACGCGTGGTGGGACGACATCGGGCAGATCCTCTACCACACAGCGACGATGATGCCAACGAATCAGGACGATCCGCAGCTCATCAACAAGAAGCGCAACATCGGGAACGACTATGTGCGCATTGTCTGGAACGACTCGGGTATCCCCTACCGCTTCGACACGCTGTCCACCCAGTTCCAGTTTGTCAACATCGTGATCGAGCCGCATTCGCTTGGGCCGATCGCCGCATTTTCGGACAATCTGCACGAAATCGAGTACTTCAAGGTCACAGTCCAGCGCGCGGAGAAGATGGCTGACTTTGCGCCTGTTGGATGTTTCAAGCTGATCTCGTCCAAGAGTCTCCCGCTGCTGATCAGGCAACTGAGCTTATTGGCGGACTGGTTCGCGAGCGTGTATGCGCACACGGAGAGCGACACCGTACGCACGGAGGTCGTTACGAATTGGCAGTCCAGGCTGCAGACGATCAGACGATATCATGACCAGAATTTACCCGGGAGAGAGGTTGGCGACGAGCCTTTCCGGGATTTCACTGCCCAATTTTGATTTGGAGGCCACATTCATTTGCCGATGTTTGTTTTTCTTGTATTGCATATGTATTACCAGCACTATTAGCGGATTGGGCATGAATGAGTTGTTGTATGGATAAACTTGCAAGTAGTATTCCCCGGCATCTTGTCGATGTTGATGGGTAATTTTGCTCCTTGCTCAGTTGTGACTGGTGCTGTGCTGTGCGGAGAGTGGACGAGGTAGATAAAACCAATGTTGATGTGCGCAGTTAATGTCAGGGGACGCCGCACCAGGAGTTGCCCTTGCAACCAATAGAGAATCTTCATGCGATGTTTGCGGCAAATGGATGAGATTACACTACAACCAATAGACCAGATTGAGCCGTTTCTGATTGCTTGGAGTAGCCGTTTTTGTTTACTTTGATTGGCTAATCAAACATATCACAGGAATGAATCACTGCTGTAGAGTGTCCATTTCACTACTTACACAACCTCAATACTACTGCTGAACCACTGCAAAGTACACAAAGACTCAATACTTTGTGTATTATATCATGCCAAGCATTATTGACCCACAGTAAATGGGATAGGCTGAATACTGTATCATAGGACTTGCAACTAAACCAGTGTCAAGGAGGAAGGACTCTGGGCAATAAAAAACCATCCAATCAATTAAAATCTGTTGTACTGGTGCTTTCCACAGCCTCTAGCCCCTGATAACTACCGGGTCCTTTTTTAAATGGGAAAGATCTACCTAAATAGGCACTTTTGGGGGATGTTCGAGGTGATGTACTTACTGAATAGTGATTTGCGCTGTCATGCACCTGAGGGCGGCGTGATGGTTGATGGCGATCTGATTATCCTCAACTTACGACGTGCACCCATGTCCGCCTCCCCACCTATTGATCCAGTTCTTTTGGCATCTGGAGGTGCTCCAGAACCGCCCTCAGAGCCTGAGGTAGTCCCCGACATCACCCGTGCTCGCTCCATCTCCTCAGACTATTCAAGTGTCGCTGCCGCCGTGGCCACTGAAGACGACGGCGACTCTTCGGCGGACTCCCGGCCTGGCTCACCTCGCATGACCGGCCAGTTCCAAATAATTCGCGAAAACGAGACGGTTACCTGTTTATGGAACAATTGCGGGATGCTTTTTGACACATTGTCCACGCTTATTGCACACATCCACTCCAGTAGGTCCTAATCTTGTATATACGTCCAACACCGTTGCTGACAGCGTCTAGTCCATATCGGTATGAACAAGCACAAGTATACCTGTGAATGGGCAACCTGTCTCCGTCGAGGGCTGTCTCAAACATCTCGCTTTGCGCTGATAGCTCACATTCGGAAGCACACAGGCGAGAGACCATTCATGTGCACGCATCCAGGTGAATGTTCACGCCATGACTCTGCATATGCCCTGTCTCACCTACGGAAAGAATGCGATAGCTCCTTCACTCGCTCTGACGCGCTAGCCAAGCACATGCGCCAGCAACACGATATCTCGCCACCCCCTGCAGGGCAAAACCGTCCCCGGCCACGAAAACGAAAACGGGGTGCTGCAGACGACGAGGAAACCCAAAATGAGACCCCACCTCCTGGGACACCTATTCCTCAAGGAGAACCGATCGTTCCAACGCCCGACGACATTGATACCCCGCCAGTGCTGACTCGCGAATCGAGTGCCCCTAGGCCTACTACTCCACTGCCTCGGGTTACTTCGCTCGAAGCGCTGAGGACTGATCTGCTAGCAGGGTCGCCTGGTCTACCTCACCCTCCATCATGGATGTCCTCGACAGTGTTAGAGGACGATGATGTGGATATCACCTCTGGGGAGAACCTTCCACCCTTGTTGCGCTCGCGATATCTTCCTAGCGTCGACCTAGTGCTAGGTTGCTCGCCTGCAAAAGCGATGTATCTTATCATGAAAGCAAAGCATCAATATGCTATGGAACAACGTGCACTGCTCGAGAATGAACTGCAGATGGCCAAGTCTGAACTCTCGCGACTGAGAGCAAGGAAGGATCAAGCACTGGATGGTCTGTTGAACGGGTTTTTCGGGTGCGCCGCCGTTCTCGGGTGATACTCTGTCCTGTCTCACTCAGCGCTCCAGCGCATCTGCAAACCATCTCATTGCTGAAGTACCCATCCCACCGAGTATGCTCATGGCCCCTCGAACCCCAATCAATATCACAAACAATTCCACGGCGAATATGAACGCTTCGCATATGTCGTCCCAAGCTGCTGGCACTCATCGACGGCAGATCAGACACGACTCGCGCACTCCACAGCAGGAACCTCCAGCCACATAGCGAACTGACATTCAACTACTATACCTTTCCCCTGCCCTTTCACTCTTTCGTTTGCACCACTCAAACGATATTCGCTGAGCACGTTTGCAAGGCAAAATCGAAGAAGCGAGTGGAAGTACCCGTCCGTCAGTGTAGTGTACATTCGCATCAATCGACAGAGACACCCTTCCTTCTCAGATCATCTTTCGCTAGCGATATCTCCTAAGAAGCAGGTTAAGTTGGGCCAATATGTATGATACGACGAACGCACGCTCATAAGTTCCTGATATGCCTCAGGACAGTCTCGGAACGAGAACAATCCCCATCCCAATGATGCGAGCGAATATGAGCCGAAAGACACTAGAGACCACCACGGAAGCTACAAATGTAATCAGAAACGAGCGGCACCATGTCCCCGTCCCGCGCACCAATGGCCAAACTTGCTTCAAGGCACCGTCATCCAGTAACGGAACAGAGAAGAACTCGAAGAAGACAAGCGTCCACAGAGAGACAAACAGTGCGGAAAGGAGGCCAATACGGTGTGCACGAGCCATAGTTTAAGCCAGAGAGCGGATGCTCAAGTAGTTTTGTCGCCAACGTGGTTCACGACGCAAGAGTAAATCGCGTGACAATACGGTGACAGTGACACCATGACGCCCTGTTGGACGCGTCTGCTTCAAACGCGTTCATTCTTTTCGTCTGCCTTCCGATGGCATGAAAACCCACTGGTAGCTACTATTTAATCATGACCGTTCCCTCTCTTTAAATGTTCCAGGGCCTTCCACGGAGCGGGGCGCTTCCTCCGCCTCAGATGCCTCGCCGAGCAGGAGCCATACAAAAACGTCGTATTCCCAACGTCAAACGCGTCGTGGCCGTTGCTAGTGGAAAGGGCGGCGTAGGAAAGAGCACAATAGCCGGTACTGCTGCCAAATAATGTTCCGCTCATTGCCAGGCTGACCAATCCACGCAAGTCAACCTGGCGTTTGCGCTGTCTTCCCTCCGCCCAAGCGATTCTGGCGCTCGTCTGCGTGTTGGCGTGTTGGATTTGGATATATTCGGGCCTTCTATCCCGACGCTTCTGGGCCTCAAGAAAGCGGAGGAGCCATTGCTCACAGACGGTTTGTGCATGATTCCCGATCTGGTTCCCACTACCCAACTAATCGACGGCTGCTTCGGCACAGGCGGAGCGATTGTCCCTCTGGTCAATCATGGAATTCCCACAATGTCCATGGGCTTTCTGCTGCCTCGGTCTGCTGACTCTGCCTCTACAGACGATACGCCTGTCGTCTGGCGAGGGCTCATGGTGCAAAAAGCCGTGCAACAGCTGTTGTTCGACGTCGACTGGAACGCCGCCGATGGGCTTGGTCTTGGCCTTGATGTTCTCGTCATAGACATGCCTCCAGGTACCGGAGATGTGCCTCTGACTCTTGGCCAACTGGTTCATGTCGATGGTACGGCATATGCGTGGTACTACTCATCCTTGGGACTAATTCCGGATTCAGGTTCAGTCATCGTGTCAACGCCCCAAGATGTGGCACTGGCGGATGTACGCAAGGGCATAGCGATGTTGCGCAAGGTTGCAGTCCCGGTGCGTCCTGGTCCCTGTTTGGGTAGCTTTCATTCAACTTCTCATCAGATCACGGGCATTGTGCTGAATCAATCATACTTCAAATGCCCCAGCTGCGAGGACAAGCATTACCTGTACGGCTCTCCAGACCTATTCCGGTCCACTGCCAGCCGGCTGGGGGTGGACGTTCTCGCAGAACTTCCCCTTGAGCCTGGAGTAAGTCAAGGAGGCGATGTAGGGAAGCCATTCGCTTTACATGCTGCCAAGGCTGGAGAAAGCCTGTGGCTAAAAGACATGGATACTGTGGCTGAACGCCTCTGGCAGGCGGTTCGGTGATAGAGCTTTGCAAAGTACATACTGTTACATCCACTTTCAGCCACCCTCTGCTTTGATCGTCTTCCCGGTCGCTTGCTCACGTTCTCGCCTCTCTCGTCTTCGTTTCACATCCCAATTATATAGCCGGGCCGTGTTCACCTCCATCACTGTTATCTGCTCCCGCAGAAACTCAAGATCTTCTATCGTGTTCTGCAGACTTTGCTCCGCGACTTGTAGTTTAGATTGGAGCAGCGAGATTGCGTCGGGTATCTTGTATGAGAGCATAACGTTTGCCTGGGATGCATCAGTTGCAATTGCGCAGCGAGATCTAGCAAAGGAACGTACTCCTAGCCACAGAAAGACGGTATCAGTATCCTCCAGCTCTGCCTCCGCGAAAAGCGTGTCGTTGAGCTCGAAAGTTGTCGTCAAAGGCTTTTGGGTACTGCCTTCTTCGAGATCATCGTCGTCTGCGTCAAGATCGTCTTCGCCTTCGTCATCGGTCGCTTTCGACTTTCCTTCCTGTCTCTATGTCAGTGGAATCCAGTGACATTCATGTGGAACAGCGCACCCTCCGCTCATGCAGATACTTCACCATCAGCAGTGTTTTCTTGATATCAGGGATCTTCTCCTCCAGTCCGGCTTTGCGTTGTGTCAGGTTGCCGTCCATGAATCGGTACTTGCTGTCCTTTCGAAAGCGCAGGCGTCAGTAGACGTGTCGAACTGGTCACATAGGCACGATGCGTACGCAAGGGCATCTTGGAAGGATTTGAGTGGGCCCTCGACCTCGCCATCGGGGCCACCGATGTGCTGTTCAACATCGGCCTGGGAAGGTGCGTCATGGAGTGTTGATCAAGCTGAGGAACATAAGTACGATGAATGGGGCGCGCGGGATGCCGCGCGGGTTTTTTTCTTCGAGTGCTTTCGACATCTTTAGAGGCCGGCAGTTGGGCAGAAGCGAAGTAAGTGATGCGGCACGTGTTCGGCCTTGATCGGCGGGCTCTGACAGCAGAAGGCTCGCCATCCGAGTCGCCACTTCCTCTCTTTTGCTACTACTTACATCGCCAGACATGTTTGGTGGCTGGACACGCATTATTGTACGCACTGCGCCTACTCTCCGCTCAACTACTGACTTTCGTACAGCCAGAGATCTCGATTTTGTAGGTGATTCGAAAGCCCGACAGATTGAGGTGCTGAAGCGATCATGGCCGTGCAGTCACAACGCAAAGTCTCCGCCCTCCAACAAGGCAAGGAAACTAGCTCGCAAGCAAGCAACATTGCTGATATGCATGCCTCAGGCCCTCACCCTCCTCCGCTCCGCGCTGTCCGCACCTTATCCTCCTGGTACCTCTTCCAAACCGCTCGAATTCAAACTCGACGTCGTTGAGGGCGCACCGACCTCCGATCAACTCAAGACGATCCTTTCGTTCCTCCCCACCAAAACCGACGTGCCCGCCGCCTCCGTGTTCCTCTCCGCTCATCCGTCATCGACGTCATCCACTCATGCCGACTTGTCCGAAGTGTCCAAACTCGGACGAGACGTACCTGATGCGCTCAAGTGGCCTGTCGTCGTTGACTGGAAGGCGGGGAAGGCGAGTATCGGTGACGTCAACGGTGTGACGAGTATCTTGGAGGAGATTAGGAGGGCACGGGACAAGGATGCCTAAATCCGTAGGCTCTTGTTGTGATAATAATGTACTCTGTGCGTTTTCCCCCACATGTAGCCGCTGTAAATATATAACGTTGACCTGATCACTCACAACACAAATCCCCGGTCTACCAAAGCAGACTAATTGAACGCTTCCAAGAGTATTGGTTCCATCGAGTTACATTTACAATGTGAGGCTAGCACATATATATATTAGTGGACTCCCAAGGAAATACTGAATAAATCGGATGAGCGGAGAGCGTCTCAAGCAGTCTCGGTGCCACTGTTAAGACTCCTCTTTGAGAACGAATGGCTCATTTCGTAGTCGGTGTCGGTATTGGCAGTATTGACTTTCGTTCGTGATTGACCACGAAGCTTGCCGCCTGTGAAATCAATCTCGGAGCTCGTTTCGATCCTGCCAGAAGTATGCCCTCGAGTGGAGGTAGCTATGGTCTGCTCGTATGACATTCCGAGGCCGACTCTGACCACGATCAGCAGCGGACAGATGCCCTATAACCCAACACGGTCAGAACAACGGCATCCCGTAAGGCAAGGAACAATCACTGACATAGACTTGGATTGCTATAGGTTCCATGATCGCCTGAGCCGGATGCGCAATGGCGAACAGGACGATGAAAACAAATTGCGTGAGGAAGAACAGCATGCCCGACTCGACGATGATGCCGGACGCTTTTTGGGCGAGGGTCTGCGCCTTTCCGCCGATGTTTGAGTCCATCCCCCGGGTCATCCACCACAGGCGGCCCACAATCAGACCTGTGGTGATGAAATTGCAGATAATGGACAGCGAAAACGTCGCATCGCCCATGGGGACGAGTGCGGTGGGAACCTGCGTCGCTGTTGGACTGAGGCTCTGAACTATCCCCGTCACTGCCATTCCACACGCTAGTTGATTAGATTAGTATTGCTCGCGTGGAATTGATGGTTTTCGGCTCACAGACAGAGCCCAAGGCGATCAAAAAGGGGAGAATGACAACCCAGATGTTGTTGGCCCAGACAAGATAGCAACGATAGATCTTGGAAACCAACCGTCAGTTTTGTTGGATCTCTCATCAATCAAAATTCTCACCAACACAAGTTGTCCAAAGAAATCAGCCAGAATGAACGATGCGTCCGCAGCTGGGATTTTCTTGGTTCAATTCGTTCCTGCACGGAGATTGAACAGCACATACCGACCAGCCGGGGTGTTTCTGCCGAAACATGTGGGCGGAAATTGACCATCTACGGCGCAGGATCAGATGCCCGCTCACCCCATATGGCATCCAACGCTCACGGTAGATACGTAGACATTCTGGAAGTTCAGGGAAAAGTGCAGAGTGCACAGCGCAAACAGGATCCAAGTCGCGATGAGAATCGGCCGGGCACTCTGATGCTTCAATGCCCCTCGAGACGAAAAGAGAACAGTTGCGACGCCGAACAAAAGAATGTGGATTCCTGAGACGGAAATATCTGAATCAACGGCCAGTGCTGATGACCAAAGATAGCGTACCGTAGAATATGCCTTCCAGTCCAAACCCAAGGAACGTCGCCTGGTCAGGATTCACACTGTGCGATATGTCGACTGCCATGGCGAGAGGGAAGCTGGATGTTGATGCAGGTGTGGACCATCCGCAATATATGGGATTTCGAGAGATAGCGATCATCGATCTACTCCGATCCAGAGTCCCGATTCTGTATGGAAGTGTCCATGTGACAGCAAGCAATAAGAACTGTAGCCCAACGCGAGCTTAGCTTTGACAGCCGCGACGATGATGAGGTGCCTCCTTGACAAGTTCGTACGCTGACTTACTGGACAGTCCTGACGAATATCTTGTTCGGCTCAGCTTCTGAAAGGGCGGGTTTCGCCGTGATGCACCGATGACCGCGAGAAAGTCTACAGTTGCTCGATGCAGTCGCACCGTTGGATTCGGAAGCTTCCGGACAAGTCTCGAGCCACCGCATTCGATACTATAGGACTCTTGTCACCAGAAACGGACATAATGAAATGCGATTTAGAGCACGGGCGTGAAAGTGCTGATAGTCATCTCGATGGCAAAGTTACGTCGTCGAATGCCATGCTTCGAACGGCCACATGAAAATTGTTTCTTCTCATCTATCCAACTGGTACTATCCAACTATCCATCAGTCTGCAATCACATTTCAGGGGTTGAAGTTAATGATAGCAGGACATCACGACCATCGCCACGCTTTTGGATGGAAAGGAAGATGGCTGGTAATCACTCCTTGGCAGTGCGACTAATCAGAACGCGTGCGCGCAGCGTCACATCACGTGTGGTAAGTGAACACGTATGTGACCGTCACGGGCTCGCTCTTGAAACGGTAGTCGATCCAGTCTCGTTCCTCTCCGTCCTTTCAGTGCTCGATCGAAAATGGGTGTGCCGGGTCTATGGAAGGTAGAAAATATAAATCCGTTACTGTTGCATGCATTTTCTGAATGATCGTCCCAAGGAACTTGAGCCTGCAGGAAAAGTGCGCTCCCTGACGGAAGTAGCTGTGGTCGAAGGCTTCGAGAACAACTCCAACGGATTGCGCGGATTCAGAATCGGGATAGACGCCAGTATCTGGTTCTTCCACGCTGCGTATGGGAAAGAGGGGGAGAACCCGGAGCTCAGGACTATGTTCTTCCGCTGCGCCACGCTCATGCATGCGCCGTTCCTCCCGCTGTTCATATTCGACGGACCACTGCGCCCGGGACAGAAGAGGGGAAAGAACATCAACCGACAGAGTCATAAGCTCACGACGGGGATGAAGGAGATCGTCGAGTCGTTCGGGTATGAGTGGCGGGTGGTGCGTGATCGAGCCTTGAGCTATTCCACAAGCTGATTGGTCTCACAGGCGCCTGGGGAAGCCGAGGCCGAATTGGCGTACCTCAACCGCATCGGTGTGATAGATGGCATCCTTTCAGATGACGTCGACAACTTCCTGTTCGGTGCCACTACCGTGATACGCAAGTGCGTCCTGTCCAGTACATCTGCCATCCCTGCTCGCACCAATAAGCATCATCAGCTCCAGCAACAATCTCTCTGGAAATCGTTCAAACCCGGTCCTCAACTCAGATGGCCGGGACGACAAAAACCATTCGCGCGTCTTCCGCATTGAGGATATCACGGACAAAACGGGCTTGACGCGGGGGGACATGATCCTTATCGGGCTGTGCAGTGGCGGAGACTATGACACGAGCGGGATGACTGGATGTGGGCCAGGCATCGCGCGGGGACTCGTCAAGTATGGGTTTGGTCGGTCCCTATACGATGCTGCGAAGAATCTCCCCGCGAGGGCCTTCCTGCGTTCCTCGCTAACTGGAGGAATCAGATGCGGCACGAGCTTGCGACAGACTCTCAAGGTTTCCTGGGCTCGAAGCGGAAGAAGCTAGCGAGTCAGATACCCGACGCGTTTCCGGATATCGATATTCTCTTGTCCTACGTCAACCCGATGACGTCTGAATCTATGGGGCGAGCCAGTGACAATCTCAATCTCACGTGGCGGAAGGAGCCAGACCTAGGAAAGCTCGCGGCCACTTGCGAGTTCTACTTCGAATGGGGGTACCGCGACGCCATAGTCAAGCGCTTCAAAACGGTCATCTGGCACGGCGCTGTCATGCGCATCCTGCGAAGAGCTGTTTTGGACCTCGAGGAGAAAAGGCTCGCTGCGCCGACGACACCAAGGAAGAATGCAAAACCGCCCGTGGAAGGAACGCCGTCCAAATTGATCACCAGGCATTTCTCGTCGATGAATATTGACTCGGGCGACAGTGACGCTGACGACGACGAACAGCTCATGTCCAAGATCACCCGCGCGCGCAACCATGCTTCGACAGACGGCATCTTAGAGTATCGAGTGGAGGTTCGACCGGGCCAGCTCGTACGACTGGCCGAGTCTGGAGTCAAGAACACGCGCCGACCGCTCGATGTCGACCCGTGGGCCGGCATGACTGAATCAGGGAACGAGGCAGATGAAGACGACGTAGATGGATCACACCTGAGCAGAGACGCGCGCAAGAGCAGAAGGAGATCTTGCTGTGGATACCGGCGAGCATGATGCAGCTGGCTGAGCCCCGGCTTGTGCGTGAGTTTGAGGACAAGGAAGAGGCGAAACGGGCGAAGAAAGCGAAAAAAGGTACTGGGACGAGATCTGCCGCTCCGAAGGCTAGGAGTCCGAAGGCTAAGAGGATTGTCAAGAAAGCCAAACCCGTCGTGGAAGAAGATACGGAGGAGGAGGTTCCGAGGATAGTGATCAAGAAACAAGTCAAGGCTATCCCGGAAGAGGAAGAGGAGTCAGGGCCGAGCACTCCGTCCAAACCCAAGACGGCCCCGAAAGCTAAAATGACTTTGCCCTCGGACTCGGAAGACTCGGAAGACGACCAGTTGCCTGTTTTCAGCAAACCAATGCCCGCCAAGAAGATCATCAAGACCGGCGACGACCCATTCTTACAGTCGGCGCCTCTACGAGTCGTGCGAGATTTGACTAGAGGCAAATCACAAGCGCGGATGAACGACTTTATGCCGCTCGCACATGCTCGGGCTCGCTCCAAAGCAACGGCGAGTGCTCCTGTACGGTCACTGTCAGCTGTCCTGGGGGTGAGTAACCGTCTTGACGCCGTCTCCGCCCCACGTACGAGTGGATCGTCGGATCCAACGAGTCAACCTAGTGTTCCCGCAAAGACGGCACGGCCGTTCCCGTTAGCGGGCCAGGATCGGTCACGTGCGCGCCAGCGGTCCAACTCGTCCGATTCGGACTCGCGTCTGTCGACGAAAGTGCTCAAATCTCCACGGAAGGCAAAAGAACACACATCGCCAAGGAAGGGTCCGACTGCCTCTCGGGCTGCTTCGCCGACGCCAGGTGCAAGACGGCCCCTAGTCAAGCCCGCTGTGATCGACATTTCTAGCGACTCGGAGGATGAGCCTAGGCCTCGTCTCCCAGCGAAGGAGATTATAGATCTTAGTGATTTATGAGCTTTATCTACACGTTACATACATGACCTAACCAGCACGTACATTTGTACTCTCTATATCCAAATCCTTTGGAACTCCCATCCATCGCTCGGTATCGGGCTGTGGCGCTCTGCGACTGGCCTGCGGGTCGGTTTGGCTTTGCATGATTGCTGAGTCGGAAGGAAGAGGGGGCTCACTGGCAGGCAGTCATCGGCTGTGCATATCCACGCTCACTCGCTGGGATGACAGCTTCGATGCCTCGATAGGGAGGACCTAGATCCGAAGACACTCGGGCCTTACTGGGGCACTAGCCGCCCTCTTCGCGCTGTGGCGCAGGGATCGGGGTCTCGAGGTATCTGAGGGGTTTGCACAGTAGCGCTAGGAAATGTAGGGCATGATGGATGCACGCAAACGCAAACAACCGCACGCGCGCTAAGCTGCGATAAGCAGGAGCGGTGCTGTAGGAAGGATGACCAGGAGGCTGATGTCGAACAACGGTGAAGTGTTCAGAACTAGTGAAACGCCGAGTCACGTCACGTCGGATGTGCTCACATAAACCTGACAGGCGATGTGAGATTTCGATCACGACAGTTGAGGCATCCACGTGATCGTGATTGGCCACGTGAGGCTGTCTAGTTTACGCTTTGTCAGCATCAGGCGTTTTTGGCTTCCAAGCAAGTTCTCTTCCGCACCTCAAGACCACCGCCGCCATGGTTCGTCTTCGTGCTTGATCATCCGGACGATCTACTCACGCTGTTTCGACCGCCTACAGCCTCCCAAAAAAGTCAAAGCCGCCCCGGCCGAAGCTGTCTCTCTCGGCCCCCAAGTCGCAGAAGGCGAGCGTGTTTTCGGTGTCGCCCACATCTTTGCCTCGTTCAACGATACCTTCGTCCATGTTACCGATCTGTCTGGCCAGGAGACCATCGCTCGTGTTACCGGTGCGTCTGTAGCCCTTTGAAATCAGCGGTTAATCTAATTGGTTTGGCTCCAGGTGGAATGAAGGTCAAGGCCGACCGTGACGAGTCCTCCCCCTACGCCGCCATGTTGGCTGCCCAGGACGTCGCCACGCGCTGCAAGGAAGTCGGCATCACCGCCCTGCACGTCAAAATCCGCGCCACCGGCGGAACGGGAACCAAGACCCCTGGGCCCGGTGGACAGAGCGCCCTCCGTGCGCTCGCGCGTGCTGGCATGGCCATTGGCCGAATCGAGGACGTGACCCCCGTCCCCACCGACTGCACCCGCCGCAAGGGCGGTCGCCGTGGTCGCCGTCTCTGATCGCCACCCTCACCACTTGGCACGGTGCTATTATCACTACATACTGCATGTATACTCGTTCTCACCTGCTATCCAATGTCGCCGATTGACGCGCAGTAGCTTCGGCTGCCCCGTGGTCATCACTTTTCATGTGGCGTTTCAATAAGCTGGCCTGTGTGCAATGCTGCTGTCTTCTGATCGATTGGCTGTGATCGGAGCAACCCTGCTACGCGCGCTTGTGATTTTAGGTTTTGTGGTGATTCACCTGAGGGGATCATGCGCTATGCCCTGTACTGTGTCGACATGTGTGAGTGCCTGACTACTCGTGTGAACTACTGCATCATTAGGTTGTTTCTGCGGACCTCGTTCTTCGGTGCGTTCCTATCACAGTCGAGCGGATACATTCTTTTTCACTTGAACTAATTCACATTGTCTTCCTTGGTAGCTCTTCACTGGATGGCTTATATGGATCGATGCTCTCAAGAGTGGGTTGAATGCCTTTTTCATGCGAGTGGGGCACTTGTTCTTTGAGATTGATCTGCTCGTCGCAATGCTGACAAATGCTGAATGTACAATCATTCCCGAGGAGAGCCACCGGCTCACCGGGACTAAGTTCACCCCGACGAGCTGGCTAGGCGTTTGATGTTTCAACTCTCATCTTTCAAGACCATGCTCGCACGATATGCGCACAGCTTGTGCGACACGATCTTTGGCCAGGAAGGAATCTTCGTTCATTTTTGTGACACCCGACTCCAGCCACCGCATCAGCCTCGATGCCTTGCAATCAACTGAGGTCACATTCACGTTAAGGTGTAACCAGAATGATACGATGCGTCTGTACGGTGAATCGGCCCAAGTTTGTTCGTTGACAGGTGAGGACAGGCGAGCCTGGTCAGTCGCTTCTAAATTAGGAAGCGGGATGTTGAACACGTGATACGTACAAGATCTTATCCTTTCAAGAGGAACTTCACACTCATTTTCGATCTCAGTGGTGAAGCGTGGCCGCGATCACGGGACGAAACGACAGATCCCTGTCTTCTGTCGCTTTTTGACCAGAAGGTCCATCATCTTCTCGGGCGCAGACGAGCGGTGAGCAGTTCGAGCGAGAGCCGGGTGACGATCGACTCGATGAGCATCCAAGCCTCTAATCCGGTCATGCATTTGCTGCAAATGACGACGTATCGTCGGTGGCCTTGCCGCGTAATTTAAGCCTGTCTGAGATCGCGTTCGACGACAAAATGCCACCGAACTAAAAATTACTACGCGGTCCCGACAATGAGCTGCGAACATATGTGTATTGCTCGTGAGACAGCTTACAACAAATCAAAGTAGGTAATGTAGAATCGGTGGTGAGAGGATCAACCCCAGAGGTGTGCCTGCTCGTCCGAGGTTCCCCAGTACCGATCGCCCAAGACGCCCTTCGCAAGAATTTCATCCACCTGTTTCAGCTCCTCTTCGGTCAATATGATATCGCCAGCTGCGAGGTTCTCCAACGTGCGAGACACTTTCCTGAGAGAAGAGTATCAGTCGATCTGAGCGGGTTTGATGTTTCGTTTATGACTCACGATGACCCAGGAAGGGGAATGACGTTTGGGCCCAGGGCTGCAACCCAGGCAATCGACACTTGAGCAGTCGTGGCCCCGCGCTTCTTCGCCACTTGATTGAGTTGCTCGACGATCTCTGCGTTGTGCTTCAGAATGGCTTCGTCTTTGAATCGGGTGAAGTTCTGGCGCAGGTCGCCGGCTGGACAGGTGATGAGGACAGTCAGGTCCAAGCGGCACAGCTGAGCGTACCATCAAGATCTGCAGCAGACTTCTACTTTCCGGAGATCAGACCACGTCCGAGAGGCCTGGTGGTATTGATGAGCTCTAAAGAAATGAGCCGCAGCAGACCCGCTCACGAGTAGGCAATAACGGAAATACCGAGCTCGGCAGCAGCGGTGAGCACGTTCTTCTGATTATGGTCGTACGAGAAGGGGCTGATCTCGATCTCGACTGCCGCAATGGGGTGCACCTGCGAAAGATGAAGATATATGCACACACAAGGATGGTAAGACGTACTGCATGGGCTTTGCGTAAGGTGTCTGCGTTGCACTCCGAGATTCCGATGTGCGAGAAGTGGCCCTCCTTGACGAGCATAGCCAAGATCTTCATGGTCTCTTCGATCGGACGGTGGGTTTCGACGCGAGCGGGTTCAAAGAGATCCATCTTCTTGATGGGCCCGAGCGCGCGCGCGATCTTGTCCATCTCGGCGCGCAGATTCTCCTCGCTGCAAAAATTGTCACTGAGCAGACTCTTTGAAGCCGATACGCTGGATACCCACGAGCAGTTGGGGCCTTGCATCCCAGCGGCACCTTTCACCGAGAGGAAGGTCTTGTCGGCGTAATCGGGATACTTGGCGAAGAAGCGGGACAGCATCTCGAGGTTTCCAGGACCGAGGTCCTGAGCGTAGAATTGACGCCCGTCCTTGGTTCCACGCGCTGATGTTAAATTCGACGCCGGTAAGGTAGACCCAACGCGCAGGTATAGTGCAATCACAGATGAATCGTCCCAGGCACGACTTGAGCGACGAATGGGAGGATACACTGGATTGACCAGCTCCTGGGTGGGATCATCACTCTCGATGAATCGCCCATGTTCTACGGCGAAAATAGCCGCTCAATTGTATCTGCTCGCGATGCTAAACCTCAATGCGGCCCACCGCCCAAATAAGCACGCTTGTTCATTCCTTTTTTTCGTTGCTTGCTGCTGTTCCTTGTTCTTAATCTCATTCGGGTGACACGTCCGCGATCGGAGGACGGGGGCTGTGCCTCGTCACCGTCGATTTGAGACTCCGCCCGCGCCAACTCGGGCTCCAGTGCCTCCTGGCGCCGCGTTGTCACGCTCCCACGTCACCCGTCGTTTGGCTGGTCGCGTCACCAGTCTGCGGGCGGCAATGCTGCTCTTTCGAGGAGCTGCCCCTACCCCTATCGTCTCCCAATCCTGGAGGCGAGGCCACATCCCTTCAGTCGACTCCTGGAGGCGAGGCCACATCCTTTCAGTCAACTCGACACACCCGACATGAGCCAACTCCCAGGACGGCGGGTCCCTTTCCAACTCCCAGGATGGCGGGTCCCTTTCCACCGCCCCTTCAGCGCGGCTGCCCTTCCGCCACTCTTCCAGCACGACTGCCCCTTCCCCCCCACCGCCCCTTCAGCGCCAGCGCCCCTCCAACGCGACCATCCTTTCACCATCCATGGGCTTCTACTCGGGGGGCTCTTGAGGAGGCTGCAACGCATGATGTCCGGAGACCCGACCATGGGGCTTGACAAGCACGCGGCATGCCTTACTTAAGAGGCCCTCTACCCGACCTACTGCAGCAGAGAGTGGTGGACACGCAGGTGCGTTTCTTGAAGCTTCCTCCCGATAATCTGCTCATATGGCCTTCAGTGCTGGACGCTGCTCTGCAATGAACTCCAGCCGTTTGCGAACGCTCCATCCATACAGCAAAGAGAAAATGATACCCTTGCGGCCGACTCACGTCATCGGTGGTGAGCTCAGGGCCCGTACATGCCCTGCGGCAACATCCCGCACATCGATGTACCGGGTGTGGATGGGAAAGGGCTCAAAGAAGAACGGCGGGTTGACTGTGTGCGGTGGCGTCAGCGACAGACCGCTTCCACAGCGATGATGCAAACGTCGCGTAGTCACCTCAACGTGTGGATGCTTCTCCGCCCATTCCCATTCCCAGAGCACCAGCTCAGAAAACCTCTTCGACCCCGCATACGTCGCCTTTCCGCTTGCAATCGAGCTCGTGACCACCATCCGGTTTACCCCAACTTTCTCACCTTGAACAACGACGTTCATGGTGCCCTCTTTGGCCAGCTGCGGTGCAATTCATTGAAACCTCAGGCAAGTCACCCGCGTCGGTGACATCACAGCGAAATGTCACCCGAATGGGTGACACAACCATTCGAGACCCTGATCACTCTTCGCTTATTACTCCTAAGCATGTCTTTTATCAGAATTTTCCAGGTTTTGAAAAAACTCGCGTGATTTATGAAAGCTTTGCAGCGTGATACTGGCTCGACAAAGCTGGTTGTGAATTGCTCCGTGAGCCTGAAGGCACCGGCTGCGCAGCCTCCTCCCTGTGTGAATCACTGAAGAGCAGGTACTGCGGGCTAGGATGAACCAGAGACCCGAAACACCACCCCACTATTTTCTGCCCAAGTCTGATGCTAGAGAGGTGCTGGCAACCAGAGGGCGACTTCTGGACCACATAAATAGTCGTCTTGAGCTTGCTCTCCAAAGACTTCAAGAAATCCAACTGTTTCCTCGTCAGTGGGAAGATTTCATGCTCTTTGACCGGTGGCCATGAGTCTGATGGCCTTGGCTCGGCATCCTGTGGCCCACCGCCAATTTGCTTGGAGGGCGGCGGGTGTCTCTCTCGGGCTGAACGGCGCAAATTCGGGGGAGCTGGGCCCGCATTGTCGGCTTGCTCTTTGTCCTGATCCTGGGTTTTGGCCGCTGAGCTTTGCGTGCCCTGCGCCTTCTCCTTGTTGCTTGCGTTGTCCTCGTTGTCCGTGTTTTCGGCCTCCTCAACCGCTTCCTCAACCTCGCTCAGAACAGTTTCAGCGGACTTGAATTGTTTGTTGGCCGTTGCTCGTTTCGGGCGGATGGACTTGGGCTTCTTGGCGGGCGGCACCGCGGACACTGGTTCTTCGGCCTTGCGCTTTCTGCCCAGTGTGGACTGATCGATTCGGGCTCGCTTCTCCCATCTGGTCCCTGCAACGATTGCCGCCTTCCGCTTGGGGTGCACTGCCTGACTAGCAGACTCCACCTGGTGATCAGAAGGTTGGTCCGCCGTGTCTTCAACTTGTTTGGCCGCGCCAGAATCGGGCACGGTCGCGGATGCAGTTGTGGCTGTCTTGGGCTTCAATGCGGATTCAGCTATGGACTGCGTCACAGATGCTGCTGCGGCAGTCTTTCCTGTCGATGCGGATGCTGCCGCTGAGGTGTTCAACGGCGATGCGGATGCCTCTGCAGGGGTGCTCGATGTGGTCGCCGCCTCGGGTGTCTTGGTCTTCGACGTGGTGGCAGCTACCGTTTTTTTCGGACTGGACTGGGACCTCATCACTGCTGTGATTCCCACGGCCTGCTCGTCATCTGCACCACTCGACTTGGTGTCATCGTCACCATCTCGACGTTGGTCCCCCCCATCACCGTCCGACTCAGACTCAGACTCGGACGTCGAGCGATGAGAGGAGGCCTTGGCCTTCTGCTTCCCCTTGCCCTTCCTGCCATTCTTCCCCTTCCCTTCTTCCTTCGCCTTTTTTGGGCCGTGGCTAACCTGGCCGCGGAAGACCTTCATGCTGTCCTCTACGAGCTCCTTCTTGGCAATGATCGGATTTGGGAGATCGAAGTCATAGTTGACCAGCCATACCTCACCATTCGTGGTCTCAGCAGGCAGAAATTCTCCCCCAGAAGATGCAAAGTGTCTACGAACCGCCTCGGGGTCCAATGGGTCACTGGGACCAAAACGATAGTCATGAGTGAAGATGACGAAGCTGCCTGGAAGCTTCGTCAGAGCCGTCCCATGGGCAGTATCACGAGGTAGAAAGCTCACCGGGTACAACATCCTGCCTTCGGAAGCCCAGACCATTTCCATTCCATTGACCATTGGGTGTCCGCCCTCTTGCCTTGAATGCAAGGTCAAATTCCCCAAGACTACCATCGTCCCAATCCCCTGAGCCCTTAGCACCCATTCTCCTCAACTTGACCTCCGCTGGAAGTCGGACTGCAGCAGGGTGCCCGCTGAGCAGGCAATGACAGCTGAGGAAGCGAGCACCTGCTTCTGCCCATGGAAAATTGTTACACTGCCGTCTTAAAGGTTCGCTCCCAATGTCAATTGTGGCGCAGGTGCGAATGTTGCTGATGACCAGATGACGATGACCAGAAATCAAGGCACTCCGAGTTTGATTGACTAAATTGGGATTCCAGGCCTTGACAGTGGGCAACGCAGGCAGGGGCATCAATCCCGGGGCAGGTAGCGTCAATTGGTGCGCTGTAGACAAAGAAGCCACAGCGGATGCATCAGCAGGATTGGCTGCACCATTCGCAAGTGGATTGGCGGAGGCATCAGCAAGAAGACTGACCAAAGCATCGGGAGGACCTCCGGAAGAGCTCATCATCTGTGTGCCAGAAGTCTCAAGGAGTGCACTAAGATAAAAATCAGTGATTACTTGGGTAGAATGAATGATGACCAAGTGCTCACTATGCTGATGAGCGTGCTGCTGCTGGCATGCCGTCCTCATCCAGATGGTGCAGCTCATCCAGGGTCAAAGTCCTCAGTCCTTCCGTGATCTGTCAAATGCGTTCATGAGCAGTGAGTAATGAGAACAGTGTGCTCACTGGGTATTGCTTGAAGCCCCTAGAAGAGACCGATGCGCCTAGGCTTCCATCCTCGTTGATCACGGAGTCGCAAAGATAATCTTGCCCTTCAATGTGATACATCCGATGGCAAGCTTCGGACTAAGAGAACGTGAGTGAGTGTGAATGTTGAAGCTGCAAAAGACGGACCACATTGTTCGCGACCTTTTCAGCTTTCTGAAAGATCTTGCAACATTCTACTTTCGTCTGTTCCAGCATTTGAGCCTCCAAGACTCGAGACGTCTGCAGAGCCTCCTCCCCCTTCTGGTTTTCTTTGAAAGTATCGTAGCAGGCGCGAAAAGTAGCCGAGTCATTCAGGGGTTCTGCTGGGCATGGATCGTCGGGGAAAGCCTTGCAAAAGTGATACCAGGGATAGCGCTTGTACATGCGCCCAGAAGTGTTCCAGTTGTCGATTGTACGGAGTTCGGGAAGCTTGGAAGAATTCGATATGTTGTGAAGAATCTGGGATGGACTAAGGCCGGTCTCCTCGCCGGCAACGCGGATGCTATCAAGAATGCGATCAATGTGGGATTTGAGAACAAGTTTCCCAATTGTTCCGAGCATTAGAGCTCGGGAAGACCCCACGATATCGAATAGCGAAGGTGTAGAGTCCTCCGCAGTCCGTTCCAGTACGGGCAGCGCCTGGTCTGTGACATTGCCCTCCACGAGAGAATCAAGCCGATGGAATGAGAGGGCCGATTCGGAAGGAGGAGGAGGAGTCGGTGCATTGTTGGTGGCCAACGCAGGGTGTACAGGACCCGGAGTCTGCAGCGCGGAGGCGTCCGCAGAATGGTCCACATGGGGAGCTGGAACAGTTTGGCCAGAAGTAGGCGAGCAAGCGGATTCAAGGCCTTCACACCCTGCGGAGAGCACGTGCTGAGCGTATTGTGGCCGTTCAGAGAGTGCAGATGTCGGTGCTGAGTACCGTGCAGCGGTTTCCACAATATGACTCGCCGGTGTGACTTGGTCTGCAGAGGCATCCGCACCGCCGAAAGCTGAGGAGATTGACGTCAGCAACTGTTCTTTGAATGGGGTCTGAGAACAGAGCCTGGGACGAACCAATAAAGTTATCGATGTGCCCTTGATCCAATGTCCCCTCCTGGCCTTTGTAGACCCCTGCCACATCCTCAACGCCCTGCATCGCTTCAGCCTCCACCGACTCGACGACAATCTCTTCTTCAAAATGGATGGGTCTTGCATCAGGTGGAGAAGAGGGACGAGTTGGGGAAGAAGAGCCCCCAAAGGCCATCCTGAGGGAAGGAGTGGATATGCGCCCTGCAGATCCACGAGCAAAGAAGTCGGCTGTCATGGTCAGTGGCAGTCCCGAGAGAGTTAAAAAGTCGTAGACACACTGTAACGGCTCAGTAGAAAGTCCACTGGATAATCGTGGCGGAACCTCAAGGCGAGATTAATGGGCTAGTAGAGCGCAGTGTAGGGCGAATTAGGTGTAGCTAGAGGCAACCGGACGCTTTGCGAGACGCTCGCAAAGAGACCGTTCCACAGCTGCTTTCTGCCACGGGCAGGAAACAACTGCAGAGCTCTCCGGGAGAAGGAGAGTATTAGCCCTCCTTCGAGGGGAACCAGTCGAGTACTAGTCGACGTCGCACGAGACTGAAGGAAAACGGAAACAGTTCAAGACAAGAATTGATTGATGCCTGTTGTGAGTCATCAAGGATGACTCAAAGCAGGCGTGAACTCTACTAGACGTAATGTACAGTCGACAGCTAACTCCTTGGTACGTGTGGGATGGATGTTGAATCCACCCCGTGTCACAGCGCCCCCCATTCCAGATCCATCCCTCGCGAAGCACTTCAGCGCCGTCTTCCTGACAGCCGGATGTCCCTAACTGCCGAACGGTGCCAATCGTCGGACCAAATCTCGAGGGCCCTATTTTTCAACGTTCGGCAGTCTTCTTCGGATGCTCCCCGAGGACTGGTCAAATCCTTGTGCTTGCGATCCAACGCCGCACGCCTCTGAGTTTCCTGCAAGAGTCTAGATTTGGTAAGTCTCTCAGCGCTGGGAGATTCAGCGACCAGACGAGCGGCCACCCTTTCCAGGTATTCATGAACTTCTCCGGAGATCTCCCCATCGTAGGACGGGAAAGCATCGGCGATCCAAGCGATAGGAGGGAAGACGTAGAACTCCGCGACTTGGGGAATAGTTTCTGCGGAGTATCCCAACAGGGCCCGGACTTCGGATTCAGACGCGCGGTCACAGACGGCGAATGTCGCGTCGTCGCCTTCCAAGTCCTTGAACCCCGCTTGGAAAGCGGTGCTTTGGATAGAGGGGCCTCGCATAAAATCTCCGACCACCGACCGTCCTCGTTGCCTTCCAAAACGTGCTGCGAGCCAGGCCACAACCCCTCCCCGCATCACGAAACCTTGGGCGTGGGGAAGAGCGAGAAGTTCGCGGATTTTGGCTAGGTAGTTCCAGGCATACTGGGTGCCGCCCGTGTCGAAGGAAATGCGAGATTGTCCGTGGGGTTTAGGTAGAGGGTCCTCAGCGCTGTTCGTCCACGGTCCTCAGCCCGCCTCCCCGATACCTGGCAATCTGATTCTCCGGCAGGAGCAGACGGAACGCTACACAGCGTTCGATGGCCATCTCGAGCAGATCCTCGATTGTCCGAACCCCTTCCGCGCAGGCCCATAAGCACATTTTCACCCAGGTCCGTTCATCCGGAAGGTAAAGGATTGCGTCGTCCAACCAGCTCCGGCTCCACTCTTCTCCGGTCCTGAGCTGGCTACAAGTATACCGCAGGTTCGTGAAATGCCTTCCGGAGGATTCGCTCAAATCGAGCCATTCTTGCACTCGGTTCCGGGAGCGTGGACAAGGTCGGGGGGCTAGCGTTTGATTCCTGGGGCCTCGCGGCACAGGGGACCGAGACCGGGTGGCCCAGCGAGCAACTCGAGCGGGCACTGATTGCGTTCGTCCTCGAGCTGGGCTTTGTTCCGTCGGCTGGGGTGCCATCACTCTGGCGGATCACAAATATGAGGAGGCATAAAGAATGATTTATATGGTAGATATCGTACCATACAAAAATGTCGTAAATAGTGTAATTGAAATCTAATCTATAATGTCATCATAAAGAGTTCCTGTTTTGTCAACTATTGGAGCATAAAATGTACTTCCAGATACTTGACATATTGTAGCCCATTTTATTCAACTCATTCATATAAAACATTTGTTGAATATCAGAGCTGCTTATGGGGTAGCAAAAAGTGGCAATATAATCAGCCACGTTTTGGACCGCAATATGAGCTAAAAAAAAGTTTGCAATAGGCAGCTATAATATTAGTACTATTGCGGCCCGTATTCGGGCCGCACTGATATCACAGATATCGCAGTTAGGAAAATGTATCAGCGGATGATCCACCAATGATCCGCCGCTGGTCTGCACCTGCCCTGCCCTAGTATAGTAAGTGATAGGTCCGCGTGATTAGATGGTGACGTGCCAACTGATTGGTACTCCTTTGGCTCATACCCTCCAATAATACCCTTCGCAACCTCTCCACCAAACAACTTAGAGCGCTCAGCGCAAGCACTTGCGTCACTGCCCAGCACATGTGCATTCCGGCAACCACCTGCCCGACCTCCCGTTACCTCCATTACCCCCGACTATTCCTGAGGCTCCCCGACAGTCTCACATGTCACACTCCTGCCGCCGCCGCCGATGACGCATTTGCTTGGAACGGGCTCAGAGCACCGCGCTTTGTCTATGCACCCTCCCAGAGTCGTTCGACGGGCATAGTCCTACATTCCGCAGTCTTACATTCTGCGCACCCATATGCGCCGGGACCATCTTACACAGTATATCTGACTCTCACCGTTCTTCTATACAACGTTGCACAGGATATAAATGGATTTTCTTTTCTACTACTCAATTCAGCGAGGAGCAAGACGTAGCTAGCGCAAAGCCAGCTAAGCGGATACATGACGTGGTAAGCACACCCCTTTTCTTTCCACCACATCCTGCATGATTGCTCCGCCCTTCCTCCACCTCTTCCTTGCTCCTCCTCAATGGCTCCGCATTGTGGTCTCTCAAAGAGCAACAAGGTCATCTATGGCCAGGGCCTCCGTCCACAGGCTGTCGCCAGAAAGAAGACCATACCCATCAACAGGACTGCAAAGCAGCTGGAGGCAGCAAAGAGTCTCTATCAGGAGCAGCTGCAAGGTACGTCCGTTTGCTCTTCTCCCAATTCAAGCCGACAGGTACGGCTCCAGCCCTGAGCTATGTGCAGCGGGAGGAGATCATGGGGAGCGGAAGTACCGAGGATGTTGATATGCTTGACGCATACGAGGGCGAGGAGCCGGATGACTGGGAGGATACATATGACGGCCCGCTCTATCACACACTGCTGCCGGGTGAGGAGGGCTTGTTGCATAGCCATGCGGGTGCAGAGGTGATTTTCGACACAATGACCACTGGCATGCGTCCCAGGTGCGTCCTCACATTATCTTTCTTTCTTTCTTACTCACTCACTTCCTCGTTACAGCTGTGGCGACCCACGTCTTTGGAATAACCGAGTACAGCAGATGATCAACTCATGGACTCGCCATATGCCAAGGCTTGTCAACGCACTAATGGAGTGGAAGCAAGTGGGATCAACAGGCAAGGAGAGCATTGAGGATAATGGAGCATGGCCTCTCTGAGTGCTTGGATTTGATGGCGTGTTGAAATGCTGAGGGAGCGCTCACAGTTGAATCTACTATGAAAGTAAACCCAAATATAAACACGTTCACACTCCTTGTAATCAGCTTCTCAGTGTGTGAAAGATGTGAGGGCTTCGGGGTGGACAGAACACCAGTATCACAACTCTCAATAGACGCAGATCAATAGTCGCGGAAGACGAAGTCGACGACAAGAATTTATATATATATCAAACAGTGGTGTCTCAACCAATATCTTCTATAACCAACACTAATCCAACCACAACCAACAATATCACAAGTCAGAGCTTAATACGAAGTATTAAGATCCCTTGTAGCGACAGCGTCCAGATGGCAATGCAAAGCCCAAAATGTTGAGTCGACGCACTGCCAACTGACACAACCAAAGCACTGAGTCGACGCACTGCCAACTAGTAAACCAAAATGCCGTGTCGACGCACTGCCAACTAACAGCCAATATCCAATGTCCAAAACCCGAGCACAACTTGTCGATGCACTGCCAAGCAAGAAGTGTGGAACCAAAGTTCTCAAGTCGACGCACTGCCAACTGACCAAAACAACCCGAGCACAACTAGTCGACACACTGCCAAGCTAGAGGTGTGGAACAATCTCAACAAAGCCCGAAGGCGACGACACTAAATGCCGCGACAAAACCAGAAGCGGCGAATCCGACTTTCTGATATCTCAAAACTCAAACTCAAATCACAGTAGCTACAAGTGCTCAGGGAGCAACTCGTCGCGACCGGGCAGGGGTAACAGAACTTCTTAGGGTGGAATCACGCGGCACGCAAATTGTACAAAACAATCTGAAATGGGTATGATTCACAGTCTGGGGGAAAGCTCCTGTGACAATCAACAAGAAATAATGTCGAAAAGAGAAGTGAATTCGAAGACTGGAGAATACAACCAGATAGCTACAGTATTTATACCCAAATCTAGTCTGAGTCATATCTACAACTAATGAGTCATAGGGCTATGTACCGCATGGAGCACTGGTCATGGGTTGTAGTAGAACCTTCCGGAGCATATGTCGTGCAGCCTCGAATCGATAGAGATAACCCCTGGAACCCCTAGCCCGGACCGTCTGATACCGTGATCCGTGATAAGATAAGTCGTGCCAAGATAGGATAAGATCGTCGATGATAAGATGAAAAAGAGTCGAGTTATGACATTACCCCCTCTCTAGGGTCGATGTCCTCATCGACTAGGCCAATGGGTGTGAAGACGTTTTCGTACGGATCGAAGAGTTGTCGCTGGGGATATGGAAGGCGCTCGTCTTTGGGTTTGTAGCGATGGATGAGATAATCCCAATGTCCGGCTTCGAGAGTTGGCAGGAGGCGAATGCGTGTGTCTGGGTTGGATTGTTTCCTCTGCCAATCTCTCAGGACCTTCTTCGCGTGGGTAAGGTGACGTGATGGTTCCCAGGTATTCTTGCTATGTGGCCATCCCTTCCATTTGACCAAGTACTGCTTCCCTTGGCCGACTTTTTGTTCCTTTACGATTTCTTCAACTTCCCACTCTTCTGCTCCTCCGATCATCTTGGCTACGGGTCTCTTCTCTCGGCAATGGGGGGTGGTTTGGGATAGGGTGTCAACAGTGACTCGTTGAACACCGGGTGTCTTCGGTCCATGTCCGGCAAATCCAGCTTCTATGCAGCCGCTCCAACCTTCTCCAGTATCTCATATGGCCCCAATCTCTTGTTGCTCATCTTCTTTGATGGTCTATCCGTCTTGATATTTTCCCCTTCTATGTACACCTTCATCCCAACCTTCAACTCCGGAACTTCTTTTCTTTGTTTATTGTAGTATTTTTTCATTTTTTCATTTGCTTTTTCCAATGCTGCTTTTGCTTTGTCTTGTATTTCTTTGATTCTTTTTACAAACTCCTCCGCTGACTCGTTCCTTGATTCCATCCGCTGCTCCACTCCCTTCCATGGGTGATATCCGTGATTGGCATAGAACGGTGATACTTTGGTAGACGTGTTCATCTTGTCATTGTATGCGAATTCCGCCATTCCCAGCCACTCCGACCAGTCCGTCTGATGGTAATTGACGTAGATGCGGAGATAGTGCTCGATCTCCTGATTCATGCGTTCCGTTTGTCCATCTGTGATCGGGTGATATGCGGTCCCCGGATTCATTTCCACGCCCAACATCCGATTGGTCTCCCTCATGAAGCCCTTGATGTAACGCGAATCCCTGTCGGTGATGATCTTGCGGGGGATCCCGTGGTAACGGAAGACTCAGTCCCTGGTTAATCGTGCGACTCCTTCACTGCTGATGTCAGTACTAATTGGTTCGACATGGATCATTTTGGTGAAGGTGTCACACCACACATGAATTGCGTCATACCCATTACTGACCGGTAGGGGTCCGATTTGGTCCATGGAGATGATTTCCCACGGCGCATTTGGGACTGCATGCAGGTGCAGAGTCCCTGTCCTTGCTCTCCTGGTCTTGGTTCGCTGGCACGCCTCGCACGTCTGGATGTATTTCCGGATTTGGTTCCCCATCCTTGGCCACCAGTAGTTCCTTTCCACCATTTCCTGCGTTCGATTGATCCCAGCGTGTCCGACCAAAGGTGTGTCGTGGTGTAGCCCGATGATCTTGTCTCGCAGTTCCTCGTCCCTCGGTATGTAGAGCTTCCCATGGTATGTGATGAGCCCATCTTCCTTTTTCCATCTGGCGAGTGACTTCTCCAAGGCCGCCTTGACGCTTCCATCAATCGATCGAGTGGCCCTGATCTCATCAACTAGCTGCTGATCTTGTCCCTCGAATGTGACTTCTTGCGATTGGAAGAACTCGGGCTTTAGTAAGGTGACGTCCTTGTTGTCATTCTTGCCCTGATCGTGATCTGCTCGTCGAGATAAGAGATCCGCCTTGCGGTTGAGTGCGCCGGGCCGGTGTCGTAAGGTGAAATCAAACTCCGCCAACTCTGTAATCCATCGTGCTTGCCGTCGATTGAGCTTCTGCGGCTTCCGGAAGTATTCGAGATTCTGATGATCGGTGAAGATCTCGAATGTTTCTGTGGCTCCCAGTAGTAATTGTCTCCATTCGTCCAGTGATAGCATGATTGCAAGCATTTCCTTGTCATAGATCTCATAATTTCGCTTGGTTTCGGTCAATGCTTGCGAAATAAATGCAATTGGGTGCCAAATGCCGTCTTGGTTTTGGCTCAAAACAGATCCTGTTGCCCCTTCCGAAGCATTGGCTTCCAGACGATATTGGCCGGTGTCGTTTGGCAGTGCTAAGACCGCATCCTCCGCAATTCTCTTCTTCAATCCATTAAATGCTGCACGCTCATCCGTACCCCATGACCATCCTTCCTTCCCTGTCAGCCGTGTCAACAGCTTGGCAACCTCCGTGTATCCCCGGACAAAGCGTCGATAGAAGTTTGTGAACCCTAGAAACGCTTGGACTTGTTTGACGCTCTTTGGTTCCAGCTATTCCATCACGCCCTTGATCTTGACTGGGTCCATCCGCATCGAATTGTGTCCAATAATTACACCCAAATATTCGATTTCCGTGCGTTTGAACTCGCACTTTTCAGGCTTCAGGTATAGCTTGTGGTTTTGGAGCAATTCGAGCACTCGTTTCGTGATCCGCTGATGTTCGTCCAAGTTCTCTGTGAAGATCAGTATGTCATCCAGATAGACTACCACGTGACCCTCGTTGATCAACTCTCGGAGTATGTCGTTCATCATGTTCTGGAACGTTGCCGGGGAATTCGTGAGACCAAAGAACATAACTAAGGGCTCGTACAGCCCTCGGTTCGTGCAGAATGCAGCCTTCCACTCGTCGCCCTCTTTGATCCGTACATTGTTATATCCCCACCGGATGTCGAGCTTGGTGAAGAACTTTGCGCCACATAGATTATGGACCAGTTCGGAGATCAGCGGCAGCGGGTATCAATTTCAGATTGTCATCTCATTCAGCTTCCGATAATCTTGGACGGGACGTAGCAAACCATCCTTCTTTTTGACAAAGAAGAATGCTGAAGCAATGGGTGATTTTGATGGCCTGATTTGTCTGCTGGCCAGGTTTTCTTGTAAGAATTCGTCAAGTTTGACTTGTTCATTGCGTGATAACAGGTACACCTTGCAGTCCACTGCTTTGGAACTAGGTTTGAGCTCAATCGCATGATCCCATGCCCGTCGGTCCAGTAGTGAGTCGAACGATTCCTTGGCGAATACCTTGACAAATTCCCAATATTGATCCGGAATCTTTCCCTCGGTCATTGTCTCCTTCTCCTTTTCTGCTTCTTCTGCGAATTTCTGGGCCGGCGTTTCCTTCAGCCGCAGATCCACTTCCTTCCCAAAGTTGACCAACAGGATCGATTCTCCCTCTTCCAGATCCGGTGTGCCCGTGTCCAGGTTGATTGCATCCATGTCAATCATCGCTTGATGTTCCTCGTGACCCCTCATGTGACACCACTCTGGGCATCGGCTGAATCTCATGGTCTGCTCCTGCCAATCCACCTTGGGGTTGTGTTCCATCAGCCAATCAAGACCGATGAAGATCCGGGCTTTCCCCAAGCACGTCAGAAGGAACGTGCGTGTCTCCACATGAGGACCGATTCTCATCCTCAGATCGACGTAGTGCGTGATCCAACCGCTGATGTTCTCGGTGTTGTCGGCATTACGAGCCACAATGGGTTGTGGAAGCTCTTGGATATCCAACTTCTCCTATTGATGCAGCAGGTACTGCAGCCACTATTGAGCAGCACCTTGACTCCGCGCGTTTTCCCTGAGTCCAGACCCGTGATTTGGACATATACGTCCATCGAATGCCTCTTCCTTTTGAGTCGGTATTGATGCAGCAGGTACTGCAGCCACTATTGAGCAGCACCTTGACTCCGCGCGTTTTCCCTGAGTCCAGACCCGTGATTTGGACATATACGTCCATCGAATGCCTCTTCCTTTTGGCCTGGTAACTGCACAATTCCTGCGCCAACCTACTGGGCTGGGGGCCCTTCTGTTTCTC